TTACCTCTACTGTTTCTAACATGGTCTCATTTAAACCTTTAACCACTTGATATAGAGCTATTATCCTCGCAAAGTGAAGGTATTACGAGCTGCTTAAGCAACAAAAAGAGAGCTAAAGGAATCGAGACAGGTAGAAAGATGGATCGGGATGAGTAGATACTTGAGCTGTAGATGGAAGGTTTCTTTTTGAGCTGCCCTTCGTGCCTGAGTCTCCTAACCACAATTCTAAAGCAGTGTATTAGTAAATGATGCGGATGATGAAAATCTGTACGAAGGTTTTCATTATCACGCACGTCGATCCGAATGGTGACACTACTTCTACAAATCTCTTGACCCTTTGATCAAGTTGATCTGTCTCCAACCATTTGGAGTCACTACTGTATCAATCAGTAACACAAATCATCATCACGTGAGGGATGTTCACATCGGAAGGTGTGAAATATCCCTCACATAATGATGATTCGTGAGGGATGTTAAGCCTTGTAATTACCATGTAATAATGGAATTCCTACTCGGGCCAGTGATGAATGGACTATAGGAACTTTTGTGCTAAAATTGAATTGTTCGTAATGAGGGTTGGTTAAAGTTTGCAATCATTGGAGAAGGCAATATGAAGTGTCAACTTCCACAATCAATACTACTAGAACTTCACGCAGCTGCAGTATTTCAAAATGATGGTCTGATCACGTACATTCTTCAATTTGGCCCACACGAGAACAATGTGTACATCTTCTCCTGCAATTAACATAGCCTCGCAGGTATTAGTTTGTTATCTCCGAGTGTTCTAGCTACTGCTCTCTTTAGAAGCGAGTACTAACTTCTCTGTCCGGCGAGATGTAATCACTCTTTCACGTTCTTCTTCAATCAAACTTTGGAATTTACTAAGCTGTAAAAAGTTTTCAAATTTTGTGTCTTCACGTACAAAACTTCTTCGTGGCCTTCTACTTCGTATGCTTGTTAATTGTGACAAGCGCAACAAATTCTCCACAAAAATTGCTCACGCACCTTGCATACATCCGTATGCCTCACTTCAAACTCCAAGCAAAACCTCGACACCAAGGTTGATCAGATCATCTCCGCTTGAAATCTGGATCTCTCTCGCTCGCACGTAGACTCATTTTCATCTCTTGAGTCTCGTCAGTTGTTCGAGAGGCAGACGAGTCGTTTGATATATTCCATGTCTATTTGAACTAACGACGTAGAAATACTTGCGAGCTCACAACTTCGTGACTCAAATTTGAGATCCTGAAATTCGTCAACCTCACCATTTGAAATTTGTCGTCGGCGTGGTGGTGTGAGCCTCGCTCCCTGTGATTTTCATGCACATAAGAAGAACGTTGAATTTGCTAAATGGACGGTGCCGACTGTCTTGAATTACAAGTGGCTCCAATGTGACCCGCTTTTACGAAGGCCGCAGATTAGGTCTAAATTGAGCTATGCAGGTTGCCGTAGAGTAACCGAACAAGTTTTCTTCTCATTACGAGATACTACTTCCTGTTAGTGCTTGGAACTTGCACCGCGAGAGCCACTTGAAGCGGCAAAACTATGTTTCAAAATCTCAACCCAAATCTCTAACGTGCCCTTCGATGCCACTTAAACCAAAACTAAATGCTGTACTGAAACTTCAGTTTTCATACTCCGATCCAATCTTCAAAATCCTTCTTCCGAATAGCAAATCTAAGAATCTTTTTCCACCAAATTCTCGATTTGAAACTCCGATTCCCTCCAACACTCAACTACTGAAACTGCACAGAGATACATACAAACAAAACACTGGAGAGAGATACACACGAACAAAAAGAGGCAAAAGGCAAAACTGTTACATACAAAAACGTTGTGTGATCCCGCACGATAGGATCACCATGGTGAGTTCTTCGAGTGAAAATACGTGGTTTTTCTCACTGAAAACCCCGTCTGTTTCAATTACCCCACTGGCACTAAAACCATCACAAACATAAGTCGAGCCCAACCCACTCCAAAGAGACTCTATGTCGACGCTTACGGGCAGACGCAGAGCTCCCAACGCTAACAGGCTCGACTCAAAGAACTAACGTTCTTCAAGTCGTCGTCGACACTATAAACCTCAGAAGTGATACCCTAGGCAAAATGCTATTTTTAGTAAATACTGAGTTACATGACATCACTGAGGATGAAGCAGCATTAGCTTTTTTTATAGCATGTCCAACTATTTCAAAAATTTGGAAGCAAAGAGAAGTTATCAAGCAGTTGACATCAAAATCAAACAGAGATGGGATTAAAATGATTTTTAGATCAATTTGAATGCAGATTCTTATCGACATGGTGCATTAATGGCATATGCGTGTTGAGGCCGATGCACCCTCGCTGAACGTGACTAGAGAGGCTCAACAAGGCTTTGTTTTTTTGAGACAAGATTTTGAATGATTTGAGGAAATGTTTGAAATCATCCAATATTATTCATCTTCACACATTTGTTGCTTCAAAGGAATGGTCGGAGGATTATCTGAAACACGTCTCAAAATCTAGTGTGAAAAGTTCTGGAGAGCATAAAAACTTCATTTTCATACAGGTTGAGACACGTTTACATGAAATTCGTGAAGCGTTGATCGATGTTCCACTCGAATGTATTATCAACATTGATGAATCGGCTTTATAGCATCGCACAACATCATCATGATCGTATTGCACAGCCAATTCAGATGGTCGGATGTCAAGCAAAGCAAAGATAGAATCACAGTTCCCCTCGGAGTAAGTGCTTTAGGTGAGACATTTATCACACAAATTATCACAAAAAGTGCTTGTACTCGGACTTTGAAGCATATTCCAGATATCAGCAAAGCTTTTGGAATTATTTATGATCATCAATCTAAAACCTGGCAAGATATATCATCTTATATGCAACTCAAGCACAAGTACAACAAGATTGCCTAGAATCAAAACAGTGTCTTCTATATATTGCAAGATAATTCTTCATCTCATGTTTGCGCGTCGAAGATTTTGGATCCATCAAATTCACAGTAAATTTTTTTCAAGCATTATTATTTTTTCATCAAATGCTACAAGCGAATGTCAAACTCTTGATCAAGGAATCATTTATTCTTTCATAGCGCACTTTTGTCATGCTCAGCTCAACCACCTAATGTCTGAGTATAAACTTTGACAAGCGACTCAACGTGCATCTCATTTTCAATTTCCAATTAGCAATCATACACATTTACGCAATGTGCTTGGTTGGATCAAGTCAGCATCAGTTAGTTTCGAAGAGAATACCATTCGAAGATGCTTTGTGAAAGCCAATTGTCTCCCTGTTATTTTTCAGTTGAATTCTAATCAAGATAATGATAGATTTGTTACAGGCTTAAATCAAGCAATAGATGATTTAGTGGAAATTTTGCAAGAAATACAACTCGATGATTTTTTCTCAGGTTCTCTTGGTCTTGATGATACAAGTATTGAAAAAGTTGCTGAAAATTTAATTGAGATAGATGTTGTTGATGCTAACGGCGATGCCAATATTGATGATATTGAAATTGTCATGTCTGTACTTGAAGATCACAACCTCCTATAGAGTGCAAGCCATTGAGAGTACGATCATATTGTCCAAGTACCGATTCTGGTTATGATTGAGCAACCGAATAGAGCCATCACTGATCTGATTAACTTATTCTCCACTGAATCATCTTTACCTATAGATCCTCAAGGCAATTTACTCTCTAATCTCCAAAGAGCTTGTCGTCCGTTGATACGTCAACAACAATTCAAAAGAATTGGTTTCATACTACAATCTACGATATGATCTATAACGAATTATAGAGGGCTAGTACATTATAGGATGAATTTCAAGACAAACGTTTCTAATCATTCTTGATCGATGACGACAAATTATGTTAATTTGACTGTAAGTGATTGATCTATGCAATTGTACTTTCACTATTATAAACTATTCTATGAAATTTGGTCTAGATTGTTCGCAATTCTAATTACTATATCAAATTTTCACTTCTCTCTAAATGGACTCTAAATAATAATCTGTGGGGTGTTTCATTGCTCTAAAATTTGAAACTGTCATTCAATTGATTTGATGTATAGATTTTCAAATTTCACTGCCCTTCGTGAGCCTTGGCATTCAGAAATTTCAAACATAATCTAATCTGATAAAAAAGCTTCAGAACGTAAGGAAACATTCACATTTACATGCTACTACATAAAGAAAGATGTTCTGTAAGAGAGAAAGAGAGAATTATGTGACGGGATAACATCTTGCTCTGAATCGAGACACTGACACAAGATCTCCTGGTGAGTACATCTAGCTCGTGAAAAATACTCTGAAGTTTTCTACAAAGCTATGTTACGAGGTCTGCCGGTGAGGACATCTAGCTTGTGAAGAATGCTCTAAAGTTTTCCAACAAAACTCTCTTACGAACTCTGTTACGAGGTCTGCCGATGATGACATCTAGCTCGTGAAGAACGCTACAAAGTTTTACTAAAAACTTTGTAAGAATTTTGTTAAAAATGTCAAAATATTGCCACTTACCACATACAATCACTATTTGAAATCTTATGTCACTAATAGAAAATAGTGACATACTGTTCTTATTTGATAAATTTTCAAGCTCCGACTAATGGTTCTTCACTTTTAAGTCATTATTGGAGGCTGTAAGTACTAAGAGATGACATTATTGGAAGATGAAACTATGTAGTTGTTAGGATGTTAGACCAATCAAATAAAACAATATACTAGGGTGATGATTAATTAGCTCTCAGCTAGTGATAACTAGCCCTTCCCCATTTCATAATGACACAATATTATACATGTGTAAAATCCTTGTATCTACTTATTAGGGATAATCCAACGAAGCTTTTCCCCCCCCCTCGGCAATTCAGGACCCAGAAAGAAAAACGTGGCGATTACAAGTGGCAGGACCCGTGATCGCCACGTCACCCGAGTATTGGCGAGACTCGGCGAGTAGAAATGCGTCGGGAGTGAGGGATGTGAAGGAGAGATTCGAGATTCAATCACGTTCCGACCATCGCAGAGTCATCGGAATTCGAGAGGAATCTGAGCACTGTGATGAGGAAATGTACGAGAAAATCCAGGATGGTGCACTGTGAAATCCACTCTACTCCGTTGAAGGAAGTGTGGTAATAGTCGAATTGCGTTGGTGAACTACCCCCGGGAACCCTAGAGCTTAGGAGACCCTTTTTAGCCACCCCTTGGACTTGACTTGTGCCAGGGGAGGATGTGGAAAATGTTCAGCATCCATGTCCCTGCCTTCGGCCCTCGCTCGAGGTAGCTCGTGTAGTTTTGCACGAGTGTTAGCTTCCCGAGCCTCGAGCCTCGGCTGCTATCGCTCTGTGTCGAGCTTTTTCGAGCCCGGAGCCCCTGCGAGTGCAAGACATTCGGGACCGGAATCTGGTTCGGATTCGGGAGGGAAGAAGGAGGACGAGGAACAGGGAAAGCCTAGAAGGTCTCGATTTCCTTCGAAGGTGTTGAGACCCGAGAGTCCCGTGCATTGGAATCTGTCTGATACCATGAAGAAATCGGATTCTATTCCTGTATTTTCCACCGTGAGCAATCCGGACGACGCATCGTCTGCGACCACCAAGCCCTTGAGTATGTGGCCTGGTATGTACCACTCTCCTGTGACGGCAGCTTTGTGGAATGCGAGATCCACAATTCTGGAGAGAGCCTGGCTCGCTCCTTCTGATGGCCCTCCGCAAACGACCATTATGACGAAGACTCCGGAAGAAAGCCGGACGAGTATACTGTACGCTCTGTCTACTGACAAAATTCTGCGAGAGCAGTATAGGAATCCTTGGCAAGGTGTGCGAATTGGAAAACTATTAGAAGATCTCGATGCACTCGCGGGCACTATTGCTGTTAAGGTAACTCTGTCTGCAATTGATTGCTTGTCATTTATATCTCGTTTCTTCTTGCAATTCTGCAACAACAATTGTCTGTTTGGTGCAAGTGAGGACTTTACGTCCGCGATCTACCAACTTTTCATGGAACTGATCTTGGAACATGTGAAAAGATCCAAAGCTGGTTCTATGAAGACTTGGGAAAAATCCAGGGAATTTAACATACTTAGTTCGTAGACTAGAAAGGATACTAAATATATAGGTTATTTGGTGCTCTTAGCCATCATTATTGGGTATTATGTATTCTTGTTGTGACTTGCGCGATCCACACTGTCGGCTGACTGCAATTGAGAGCTGAATTTTAGAGAAGAATCGTCGTGCATAATTTTTGTTATGGCATTACAGGCCACAGTTTTGCTCAGTCTTGTCTATGCACAAAATGTGATATTTCCAAGAGAGAATTGCGAATGCCTACGTGGGCTCAAAATTCTCGTCACTTTATGCAAGTTCTTAGTATACGAAGTTGCTTATTTCCAGTTTGTGATCGTGCATTTGGAACTCAGCACTGTGCAGATGTTGACCACACAACTAGACCCTTGCTGCTGGTGACAGCTTCTGTAGATAAGATTAGCCTTTTGAAACCACTGCTGCTAGATGAAGATCTGAGAATTGGCGGTGCTGTGGCCTGGGTTGGCCGGTCGTCAATGGAAATTCGGATGGAGGTTATTCAGCCCGTTACTGGTAATTCTCATCAATCTGATAAATATGCTCCTTCGTGGTTTTCACAATTTGGATATCACAGCAAGTTACTAGACCAAACAAAACGCCAGTAAGCCCTCACGCTGTACTAGCTCCAGGGTGGCTTGAAATAACTTGTCGTCGTAGGTACTCCATGTAGAGAGCTTCTGTGACGTGCAATGCTTTTGACACACACATGAGATAATACTGAGGACGCTTGATCTTCTTGAAAATGTCTTTTGACAGTTCAAAGTAATAGGTCGTTATGTTATATGTGTTGAAGGCATGCCATGGGCTGATAGTTGAAAATACTCTTGTTGGAGGTTGTCACTTGCTTTCATTCGGGAAAATGTGATACACAGTTTTGAATATCTTACCTGGTGATACTTTCCGAGGATTGTTCTGAGAATGGTATCATGCTCGCTGTGCGTGCAGAGGAAGAAGCTACCGAGGATGATATAGCTCTAATTGCGAACTTCACTTTTGTGGCACGTGACTCCGTTACGAAGAAAGCTGCTCAAGTGAATCGCTTGCAACCCGAGAGTGTTGCAGAGAAGAAGCTCTTTCAAGAAGGTGAGGGTAGAGATGAGAGGAGGAAGGCCAGGATGAAGGACTTGTCTGAAGGCATGAGGGTTGGCAAAGTCCCCTACGACGCTCAAAAAATGCAAGCGTTGCTCCGAGAGGGCCGTGTTCTGATCGAGATGCCCACTCTGGCTGATAGGAACAGTATCCTCATTCGAGACACAAGGTTAGAGAATGCCATTGTTTGCCAGCCTCAACAACGTAACATGCATGGACGTATCTTTGGAGGCTTCCTCATGCGGCGTGCCTATGAACTGTCATACACGACTTGTTATGTGTTTTGTGGGACCAAGCCAGTTTTCCTGGAGGTTGATCACGTTGATTTTCGTCGACCGGTACTTGCAAACCCCTGGAAACTATGCTGGCTATTTTTTTTAACAAAATTTTGTGAATTTATTGTATGTAGAAATAAACGCTTGCAATTTGTGGCTTGTCTTTTTTTACCATAAATCTCTTAGGAACCAGTGTTTCGAAGAAATATCAAACGAGGATGATGTATCAGATCTTTCTTTCTGTACACCTTCAGGTAGACGTTGGGGACTTGTTGCGGTTCAAAGCCTGCGTTTTGTACACAGAAACAGACCAAAATGGTGATCCGTTAATACACATAGAAGTTGTTGCACATGTCATTCAACCCGAGGTACAGAGTAGTGAGGTAAGACTCAACTGTCAAGTTGTGGATTTGTACTTTGCACTCAGGGTATGTTTTTACAGTTAATCCTGAATCATCTCGGACATGCAAGTTAGGGTATGTCTGTCCTCAGGTACATTCTATAGTGGAATTGCACCTATCAAATTTAGCAAGGCTGAGTTGATGCTCTTTACATTTCTCGCAGAAACCTACAATTTGTCACAGCGTTGTTTCTCTTGACCGACCTATCTTGACCCTGAGCACTAATTGACTCGCTCTTTTGCATATGTTTCCATTTGAGTGGCTGGCCTCTGTAATGCTAGCATACGAAGTTGTAGTTAGCATTCTGAGAAGGCAGTTCGTTAGTAGTAACATTGGGTTCCCATCTATTACCAAGCAGGTTTTGATTGTGGGGAGTTAGCTATGCTTTGTGAAAAATTCAAGACAAACGAACCTCCAGATCTGGGTGTATACTGCACAGTCTCGTTGAGCTCGATGGCCTTGACTAATTTGCCAGTTTTACCTATGTTGTGGCCAGGTTTCCAATACATTTTACTTCACATTTACGATTGATCGGGAGCAACGAAAGGATGGAGCTCCCCCCATATTGAAAGTCGTGCCCTCTGCTGAGGAGGAAGCTCGCGTTGTTCTCTCTCGATTTGATGCCGACCACCCAGTTATTTATCCTGTCCTTGTGAAACAACACTCCCAACAGTCTCGGAGCTAGTCTTCTTTTCTCAACGAGATGCACGTTAGTCTTGAGCCTTGAGTATTAATTAAAATGTTCCTGCTTACGTCCAAAATCCCATCAATTTTTTATGTGCCTGGAGTGAAGGTCTTGCTCTGATCAGGTGAAGTCTGGTAAGTCCGAAGTCACCTAGAAGGTACAAGTATCCGATACTGCAAATTTTATTTATATATTATCGCAAGACGGCAAGCACCTGATCCTGGGTAATTTGTGAAATAATGAAAAGCACTAGAATCACCTCTAAGTCTTGCCGGTTCCGGAAATAGGTCTTGAACTTGTAACTAATCATTTTTTATCCAATGCACGTATTTATCTGTTCGTACATTCGAATACTATTGCCTTTCGATCTTCAGGCATAGTCTGTCGATACGTAAGACACCACTAAAGCTGAAAGCGAATATGCGGGAGTAGTGAAAAGCTTGTCAGTTTTCTCCACTCTGGCAGCAAATGTGTGGTCTTGCATTTTTTCATTTTTCTAGTCCGCAATCTTTTCTTCTAAGTGCTAGTAAGAAAGACCGAATTCTGAAGTCCCTAAAGTCCAGACTAGTACTCGTAACACGAGTTTGGTGAAGTACTTCAATTCAAAGGTTGGTTCGAAGACATTATATGACTACATCAACTGGATTGTCTCGCTTATAACTAGGATCAGGGGCTTGCTTTTTCCTTGCGTGATATGCCTAACCGAACTTTTCCCTGCCGTAGCTTCTCCCAAATGTTAGAGACGGGTTAAGCACTGCTGACTCAAGAAAGTTGTTGGAACAACAGAGGACCGAGTCACCTGGTCTAGTATACTTGTTGTCACCGCGACTTTCTCAAATGGCCCCGCATGCACATATCTTTCATTGCATCGGGAGAATTAAGGATCGTTCTTCTACGTGAAGGAATTACGAAGACACCTCACGTCTAAACCGAAGAACTAGTTAAATGTCTTTACTACACAGTGCTTTCTTGGAACCAACCTAATTCATTTCTTACCGTTTACCATCTCTTCTTACATGCTTGTAGGAAAAGAGAAGTATGTGGGGTACAGAAAGGAATGTAAGAGAAGGGGTTAGACCTCATTGTGTACTCTGCAGGGACCCCTCATATGATGCGCTGTTTGTAGTTCGCGGACTATTTATCTCATCATTTTTGCATCAAATGGACAAATGCATGTAGCATGGTTACACCACTAAAATGAGTGACGTTGACTGTGTAGGAGAGAATCTGACGTCAAGCTATGAATAATACAGGTTTGCCAATTAAATTGTGCCACTCAAGAAACACGCGAGATAGGGAGTCATCCGAAGGTATGTGTTTCCCTGCAAAGGGTTACAGAATGAGGTGGTCCTCGTTAGATCTGAAGGCACTGAGTGTTAAGGTAGACATAATCATAGTTGTCAGGAGAGCTTAGAAATATACTTAGGTTGTTATCATACCTCGAGTATGGTGCCACAAAGGTTCTCTCAAGCTCTTGCGATGACTTTTATTGACCGCCGAAAAGACCAGTCACTTTTTGCATGGACGAGCGAACTGGTAAAGGATGTCCAATAAAAGAAGAGGATGGAGCACAGCTAAAGCCTTGTAGGTAAGTAAGTTCAAGAGAGCACATTGCATATTCTTGACTCCCACATTTTAGATTGTGGGATAATATAAATTTATACGTTTAACGATGTAGGAAAGGGAGAACGTGAATCACTCAAGCCAATAAGTGCCCAGTAAGAGATCATGGTATCCGAATCATAATCTGCAGGCCCTCAGTATCTAGTTTCCATAAAGTTAGTTTTACCGCTGTAGAGTGATACTCGGGTCCGCGGAGTCTCGGTTATCACTACACTGGGAGTCACGGTGTGGAAGTGAAAACACGAAAAGATTGCATGATTTTCTGTGGAGTGATATACACTGCGTGTTTTTACACGTTGTGTATTGACGTCGATGGATACTTTCTACTCATCGGGGCATATGACAAAAGACTTTCTATTCTGAAGGAAGTTTATTGCCCAGAGGAATAAACGCAGAACGGAATCCCGATTTGGAAAGATGATAAACTCCAGTCGGACTAGAGTAATGGATATCTTGTTTGTGTTTGCTCGGAAGCAATTCAATGTACTAAAGTGGAACTTTACACTTTTAGGCGGAACTCTGTGAGGGCACAGTCCCACCTCAAGGTTTTGATGCATGATGAAGAATCTCTGACAAAGTCAAATGATGATTCAAAGTTAACCGAACTGGCTCCACCTGTGGTAACATTCCTGCCTGCCACATCAGCAGATAAATTGTTATTGTGCTTCTTCCTTTCATTCCTTTTGTTTCTTAAGGCAGTAGGGTCGCCCGTACGTGCTGCAGCTGGATGTTGAAATGAACGCAGATCCCACTTCATGTCTCCAATAGAAGTAAGGGTATAATGTTGCCAAAGTTCTAGCATTGACATCTATACAACTGGTTGGGCCTGCTGAACTTGGCTTTATGCTTCATATGCTGCAGGTTTCTGGAACATCATAGTGAAGAACCCACTCAAAATGTGCACCGGTGCGACCTCATGATTTCTCACCCATATGATCACAACACATGTCTACGTAGACCTTTACGTGCTCTTTTAAAATTGCAAACGTGGTTTCCCATTTTATTTAGTCCATCCTCGAGTGCGGCGATCTGTTGGCACTCCACACCGGCTGGGGAGAGTGTACACTAAGTAGGGTTAATTCGTAGATAGATGGATTATGGGCCATAATCCATAATCCATCAAAGCCATGGGCCATAATTTATGGCCCATGACTTTGAACTCAGGGCAATCTATATGATATGAGACTTAAGAGTTGTTCTGAAAGAATTAATATAAACAATTCATGTTGCCACTCTTATTGGCTATGGAGAAGCAAAGAGCCTTGTAAATTGATTGAATACCCCTTGATCTTGAAAGGTGATGTGGATAACATTTATAGTTGTTAATATATTTTATTTTCCATACAGTACATCAGTATCACACTCAAGGAGCATTAGGTGCAGAAGTAAGAATCCATGTACACAGAAATATTTTTGGGTGTTTCTTTTTCCATAGAGCATACCAGTATTACACAACGAGGAGCAATAGCCGGCGAGAGACCGAGTTATAGCCACATCGACAGCATTAGCGGCACCTGAGGAGCATAAGCGACATCCGCAGAGAGAAGCATCCAGGGTCGAGATCTTCGACAGGATGGACGCCCCGGGAGCAATGTCTGACATAGAGGTTCACAAGGAGAGTAGAAGGTTTGCCTGAGAGCAGTGGTGTCCTCCTAATCCTTGACCAAGACTTAATCCGAGGCACCATAAAATCAAGTCGCACACTCTCGTGGTCGAGGTGACGAGGAGTTCCGTCTAACTGGTGCAATTCAGAGATGGCAGAAAGATCGTTGCTATCACCGAAGAAAATTCCAGAAGCAACCAGAGGACGGAAGGGGACGGAGTTCCGTCAGTTCGGATCAGATTGCGACCGTTCCCGGGGTGGGGGGAGACGAAGGACTGGGAGCAGCAAATGCAGCGGGAGGAAAAAGCGGAGCGTGCTAGGACAGGACAAGATTACGCCAAGAGGGTTGGGGTCCAGCGGCCATTGGCTGCAAAAATGTGCTGCGATCGATCCCAGCCATTGGCTCACGCGATGCTTCCATTATCCGATAATATCGGGCAGCCCCAGAGAGCTGCCCGCGCGTGACCTTATCTGCATAGTCCGCTGCCCGGCGACCAACTTCCCCACCCCGCGCCACCTGCCCAATCCGTCGAGCCGACGCAGCATTGGCTCCGGCCCTGAGCAATATCTGCCCGGTGCCCGCCCGCTTCCTGCCCGCTCGCCTCGGCCTACCGGGTAACGATTCTGCACAGCCAGAATTATCCCATAGTTCGATCGGCCAGGCGCCTCGGAGACCTTTTGTTCAGGTCGTGCATTAGAGCCCGTCAGCTCGGCATTGTCCCCAAGCCTGTGCAGTAGCTGTCGATCGATTTCTCGAGGAGCTCCAATTTCTTCGATTCAGGCTCATACGCACGCAGCAATGGCGCAGACCGTGTGCATGGCTGGTATCAGCGGCGTCAAGCTGGAGGGCTTGGCCGCCCAGGGAGCCGTTAATTCGCGCGTTCTCAATGGAACCGCCAGCAGCGTCTGCGTGCGCCCAGGGAGGATGAACGTTGTCGCCCTCAGTTCCCAGGACGAGACCTCGAGCAGGAGGTCTCTGCTCGGTTTGATCGCCACCTCCGTCGCCGCAGGTGTCTTCGTCAGCGACGCCCACGCCGTCTCTACGATCAAGTTGAACCCACCCCCACCTCCCAGCGGTGGTCTTGGTGCGCATCGACTCTCTCTCCCGCCCTTCTTGTGGTGTCGTTGCTTTTTTGAGCTGATGACGTTTATTCCTGGGGTTTCTTTAGGATCACGAAAATGTTGTCAGTCTGTCCCTCCTCTGCTTCTTTCTTTGTCCATTGCACGAGGCTCTGTTTTGGATATGGTGTTCTCCGTGGTTTTTAATTTTCGTGCTTTTCTGCAGGCGGAACCAAGAATGCCGATCAGGCTAGGGACACCGATCTTCCCCTGAAGGACAGATTCTTCATCCAGAAAATCTCCGACGGTGAGGCCCTCGAGCGCCTTAAAGTCGCTGCCAAGGCTGTCTCTGCCACCAAGGCCGATATCGAGAGGAAGGCCTGGCCATACGTTCAAAATGGACTCCGTGGAGAGGCCCAGACTTTGTTCCCCGACATGGACCAACTGATCGCCTCCAAGAAGACCAGGGAAGAGAGGAAGGCACTCATTGGATTGAAGACCAGCATCAAGGATGCTCTCGATGGAGTACGTTCCCTACACTATCCGAAGGCTCTTTACTAGAAAGCATTGCCCTGATTTGATGAATTTGTTTTCTTATTGCCCACTGACTTTGTCACTGCTCTTCTTTGCAGTTGGACTACGCATGCAGGACAAAGAACCTCGCCAACGCACAGAAGTACTATGATCAGGCAGTCAGTGGCATCAGCGAAATCATCCCCAAGCTCGGTTGATTTTGAACTGTGTAACATGTTGTGAAAAATACCACGACCAAAGCGTCACCTGTAAGTTTATTATCCAATTCTTTTGTTCTGGAAACGTGAGTCGTCCGGTTAGTCTGGAAATTGAGGCGTTGTTGCCATGCATTTGTACGACAATGATGCCAATGATGTATTTGAATGTGTAAATCCGTCGATAATACAAAATTGCCCTTTTCAAACACACGACTTCCTAGCGTTATGTCCATTACCAAAACATTGATTTGGTAACGGCCATTACGATTTACGTCGTTGAAAGTCACATTGATGAATTGACTCATTGTGGATGATATCCTGCGCACCTGATCTTCATGATGACCATACGAACGAGGAAGTGGTAGGCAGGATATTAGGGAGATTTTTCAACTAGCGGATTAAGGAGAAGATGACGAATTTGTAGCTTTCATTTTTATTTGAACAGAGCAAACCTACGGGTTAATAATATAGATGACGAGTCAATCCAATTTCGCCAAAATATTATCATGTCCAAAATTCATAATAACTACGATCAGTATGCAGCCTTGTATGGAGATAAAGAATGTATAGGAAGTCTCGAACAGGGTCGTATTTACACAGTAGCCAAAACGGTCAGTGGACAGGGTCTTAGTATTGCCGTACGACCGAACTTAAAATGTGACCATGAAATGACTGTTTCCCATTCAGCGTTTTACATATTTGTGGTTAAAGAAAATTTAACTCATCTGAACTGAAATACACCTGTGTGAAAAGAAAATTGTAATCCGCAATTGAATAATTGGAACATGTATATCGAACTGTAATGCAAAGAAAGAAAATTGAATATTTTGTATTTTCACTTCTTACAGCCACCGGTAAAATGATCATAATATCATGTCTGTTATATTTGCCATCCATATTTACAGTGAGCGATAAAAATCTTTACACATAAAAGTAAGCACACTAATCTTCAAGAACTTTAAATATATAATCATATGATGATTGAGAGAAAACATGTAAATAACACTGTAATCTCTATACTGAAAAATACCAATAGTCTTGATAATATCGGTGAATGTTCCCTCAGAGTAGACTCAAAGAACAGACTATGATAACGTGTACACGTCACATCTATACTAATTTGTTTGGCATAGACTACTTGTCGAATGAAAAGGTTTTAGATTCGGTATTAAAGGAAACAAATACAAGTTACAAATACAAATTACAAGTTACATTGGATTAGGTGCATACTATGAATCAGTATGCATATTATGGATACAAATACAAATTAGTACATAAAAATTGGAATAAAAATAAACACATATTATTATTATTTGTAAAAAAGTTTTGAAACATGTGGTTTCTTAGATGAATTAACAACATATTTCCTCATCATATTGTTTACTAGTATTAAGTCTCTAGGTATATATCAAATCTTGATTAAAAAATAGAGATTTGTTTGATAGTACCCTGCGGAAAGTAATACGTTGATGGGACTACTTTGGTTTAATTTTACCCGATAGGACCTCAATGGACATAGTTCTTGTAACTACGATTACTACTAGTTACAATGCGGGAATTACAATATCTGGTGGATTATCACTGGGACAAAGATCGATTTTGCTCGAAGTGCAATTTGTTGTACTTCAATTCTTCCGATCTCAAAGATTCGCGGATTTCTCTGTTAACTCCCACCTGCACACTCCTTCCGTAACCCTGGTCCGAGCTCAAGTCTCGCGATCACTCTTTTGTGGTGAACCAATAATCTCCGGATGAACATTTCTTTGCTAGTCTCCTTGGGGAGTGGCCGGATACAGAATGATAACATAAAAACAAGTGAGTGTGATGGAGTGCGAAGTCCACTCTATCTGCGGGTGCGATACACTCTGTCTACGGGTGCGGTGGACTCGTTGCACTCTCTCTAGTTGTTATTAGAACATGGGTGATGTGCATCGTTCATGGGGTACCATCGGGTAAAATGAAACCTGAAGTGTCACATCAAGCAAATTACTTTCCGCAGGGGTACCATCAAGCAAATCTCTCTTAAAAAATATAGATTTCATAATTTCTAACATATGATATTTGAACATATTTAAAAAATATTTATATGTTATTGAAAAAAAATGTACAAAAACATCAATTTTGGTTTCTATATTTTTACTAATAAATTTATTGAAGCAAAAATATACATTACTGTATATATAGTAATTTAAAAAGAATTGATAGATTTGAAATATACTAATGTTTTTATTTAAAATATTGTATTATAATTTAATAATATATTCATCAGAATTTAATAATACATATATCTTGATTGCGCAATCTTTTGCCAAGAAACTGAAATTAAATCATTGTAGAGATAAGAAATCACATTTTATTATATTCGTCAATTTTGAATAAATCAAATTTTGATTATTCTTTCAATTTAGACATAGAACTTCTAAAAACATTTAAAATTATTTTTTGTATTTTAAAAAATGAACCTTTTTTGAAAAAGAGTTGCAAATAAATGTACATTGGCGGGCGAGCAAGGCAATTGACAGCCGGGAAGCACTGGATTGAGCTCGCCACTAGAACACAAAATACAGTGCCCCCGAAGTCCAGGCTCCAACGGCCTGCTGTTTCTACATGCTTTCCTGTCCTTCTCCGCAACGAAGTGTCTGGCGGACTTCAGAACCACAGACTTCCTCTGTCCGCGCACGCCTCTGCTTTTTTCTCAAGGCTCTCCTTTCCCTTCCCTTCCTTTGCCTTACCTCCGATATTTGTTTTTTCTTCCGAGTCTTGAACCCTGCCCTTTTAGTATAACCTCGTTCTGAAGCTAAATTTGACATCTTAATTTGAGTGTTTAATTTATATTTTCTTATGTGAATCAGGTAGATCAAGAATAAGATTATTTTCATATCGAAGATAACTAGATTGTTTTTTACACAAACTCAAGAACGCTTAATGTAACCAATTAGATAATTGAACCAAAATGGGAAGATTTCCATGCACCTCTAGAGATATATATATATATATATATATTATTAAACATAATATTGTAAAGATTTTGATTAAATATTTTATTTCATATGTAGACTTCAAAACACATATTTTCAATGCATAAATCTGAAAATTTTCGAATTCAGATTAATTTTTTGATCTGAATAGTTAAATCTTTCAAAAAAAAATTGATTTAAATTTTCCAAATATTTTTATATTGAAATAATAAGAAAATAATTCCACATCATGTCTGTTCATACAAAGAGATCAAATGCTTAAATGCGGTTATATATATGTGTGTGTGAGTGAGAAAGAGAGAGAAGTTTGGTTATAAAGATAAATTTTTGAGAAGAAATATTTAAAAGTAGAATATTTATTTAGGGAATTGCTAGGCACACACCCCCCCCTTGCATACATCTCGCGTATTGTTTGCTGCTCATCACCTTTGAGCCTGTGAGCTGCGGGATATGCAGAGATGTTAGTGGCGGCAGGGTGATTATGCTCGCCGTTCTCCAGCTCAAGGCGCCACTCCGTCTTGCCGAGCGCATTTTCCGTTCAGTCTCCGTGACAAAGCGTTGAAGAACGACACAGAAGGTGCACTTCGTTTTGCAACTGCTTGTTTTTCGTTTCCTTGTCTCTTCTGTCAAATAGTCCCGGACGTTGCGGTAGTCACCAGCTTGTGCGCAGGCTAGCCATACTTTGCGCTTCTCGCCGCCCTTGTTGACCTTGGAGCGCAGGCGACTCAAGCTGTACCCCTTCCTGTGAGCAAAGGCAAAGATCTCCGTCTCGGCTTCTTCCAACGACGCGTAGACGCGATCCAAAGGCGGTGGCTCCATCTTTAGTGATATAGTGCCTCTGAGAGTGAGACGGCAACTTCTGTCGATCTGAGCGTGCTATTAAGGTCACGGGCGGTAATCCCTCTTTTGGGGGGGAGGGGGGGTGTGTGCCTAGCAATTTCCTTTATTTATTGCTATAGAATGTAGAGAGTAAAGAGATGTAATAAATTTTAATGTTGAATTCCTATGAAAAATAAATTTTAGAAGGAAATTATAAACTCTATATTTTTATTGTACAAATCTCATCAAATTTTCTGAAATTAAATTTACGTGTTCAAATTTTTTTGATTATAATTATAAAATGTTTAATTTTTTTAAAAAAATAAAATTTTCAGAAAATATGAATATTTGAACACATGTCATCATCTCTATTTTTATATAAATTAAATGTGATTACATTTTTTGATTTTTTTAAATTAAATGTAAATTAAAAATACAATATAATTAAATTAATGCAAAATTTTAACAATAAAAAAACTGAATATTAGAGTTGTGGAAATAATAAAATGAACTTAAAATGTAAAATGTAGTAATGGTTTTTCTTGATGTATTGAAAAAATTACCATTCAATAACTCGGTTGAAATATTGCTCCTTCTTTTTTTTAAATCATATGAGTTTTAATCAAGTTAAAGAGTGTATGAACTCAAAAAGATGCATTTGTTGAAAAGATTATTGACTTGAAAAGCTTTCAAATTTGAAGAAAAAGTACCAAGCATAAATGTCAAAATTCATGCAAAGATATACTCAAGCTGTATATGTAATGGTATCAGAAGATAGTAATGAATATGGCTCAATAATTTTACAATGAAACACATGTTCCAATCAAAAAATAAATTTCACATCCGTGTAAAAGCATACATGCTACATTAACTTCCGAAGTTTACTACCATCCTTCAACATGGTTGAAATGATAAAGATTGCACACGTCCATACTCTCTATTGTAGTAGATTATAAAGATAATGATGCTAATTTCGACTTATATGGTAGGATCTAGTGTACTCTATGTGAAAGTACTTGGAATCCGAATGACAATGCCCGTTATTTAGGAGTTTGGATACATATCATATACAGAATCAAGACCAATCAATATGAATGCCTTGCATAATTAGTCAAGATAATACATTGTCCATTTCAAATACGACATGCATAATAACATTATGCTACATTCAAGATCAAATGAAAGTGATATGCACCAAGAGAAGCAATGGAACAATGAGTTTGAGAATCACTATTGTGTTGTGTTGTGGGCTAATTTTGGATGGACAGAGTTATGCTGGCGGCGCACACGTGGCACCGAGCGAGCTGGCACATCGCCTCGGCCGACAATGCATGGACCAAGTGGAAAGCGGAAGGCGGAATCCGGTGAGGTGAGGCGGGGTGACGTGGATGCCTGCCACCGCGGCCAGCAGCCGGAGGGTCAATTCGACTACGCTCCCGCAAGCGCCCGGAGCGTCTTCCATCCAGCGCCCGCCCGTTCGAACCCCGCCCGCCGGGCGCTGCCAAATGCCCAGGACCGTTCCTGCGCTCGCCGATCGATCTCCTGCTCGCAGGAGGAGAAGAAAGGACGAGACGTTGGCGGCGAAGTGACGTGAGTGTAGAGGAGGAGCAGCAGGAGCAGAAGGTTCTTGTGCTCGGAGCGAATGGTGGAGAACCCTGAAGACGGGGAGAGGGAGGAGCAGGAGGAGGATTGGACCGATGCTGCGCAGAATTGGCCGCCTCGGGCTTGCGGCGATCGATCGGCAGCAGGGCCGGGAAGCTCAAGTGCATGGATTGGTAGTGGATCAGTCGTTCGTATCGCAACCTTTGGTGTTCCGGGTCACGGCCGAGAGGAAATCGTCGAGGAGATGCGGATGTTTCGCTGAGCGGCGGTGGAATGGAAGCGACTCTTCACAGCTTGTGTGAATGAGCGAATGAAGGAATGAATTGAATGAATTGAGTGAATGAATGAAGGAAGGAATGATCGCATGGATGGATGACTGGATGGGTGAAAGAATTTTGAGGTCGTCGAGTGAGCGAGTTTGTATGGATATTTAGTTGGTCCTCGGGGCGGAAGAGCAGGCAGGAAATGCTTGGGAGGTGCCCCGGTCCGAATTTGGGGATCGATTGAGTCCCTTTTCCGAGAGAATTGTCGCCGGTGTTTGTGGGGGCGGGGCTCATGGAGGCACTGCGGGGTGAGGACTCGGTAGCTTTCGACGATGAAAGCGCCGAAGAAAATTATCAGTCTGCGAGTGATCTGGTTCTGATGAGTCCCGTCGGAGTTGCCGAAATGGTGGATACGGTAATGAGCACGGTGAAAGCTGCCGTGGACAAGTTGCCTCATTTAAGCTTGGGGTCCGAAGGGGAAGAGAGTTTAAGGAAGGAAGTTTCGATTTCGGATGGCAGTGGGCATGATGAAAAGGAGGGTCAACCAGAACCCCAAGGGCACCAGAATTTCGGCAAAGGGATCCAGTCCGAAGGAGATAGTCCGAGTTGTTCAGACGAATTGTTGGAAGAGAAAGGAGTTAGCGGGTCAGGAGCCTCGGAGGATTGGTCTGTCGTGGACCCGATTTCTGAGGCTCAGAGCGTCGTCCCCAAGAATGGCAGAGCAGGTGAAACTAAAAAGCTTGACCAATCAGGCACTGCAAACTATTTTTCATCTCTCAGTGAAGAAGATGACAAGGTTCGGGATGATCGAGCGGAGGATACCTCGTCAAACTCTCTTCCTTCCTCTTCGAAGGTTGCTGCCGAGCCAGAGATACAAAAGCTGGCAGCAGAGAAACCTTCGAGAGTTTCTTACGCTGCTGCTGCTCTCCGGGAGCCTGAAATACAAGAGGTGGAGGAGAGCACAGAGATATCCTCTCATGGAGTTTCGTCATTGAGCTCCGTCACAGACAGGGCGCCTTTCACGTATAATGATAAACCCTCTTCACTTAGGAGAAGAAATCGGTCCTTGAAGGTCAGCGATTCCGGCTCTAAGTCAGTGGAATCTGAATTGACAAGCTCCTACTCTACCGCTAGCCCAACCCCTGTCAGTCCACGGTCTCATGACAGAGATACCAGTTGGGCTTTTAAGGACACGACAAATGAAACCAGTGATGAATGGAGCAAGGGACCAATTACACGAGGAGGAATCACACAGCTTAAGGCTCTAGAGGATCTGAAACAAAAGGGTCAGGTTCAAGATGCGCAATCGGAGGGAGTCTCTTCATCCGGGCGGAATGATACCGTCGATGTAGAGCCCATGGAACCCAAAAGAAAGCTCATATTCCCTTCAGGATACAATTCCGACACAGATGATGATGATGAAGAAGCAGACAGTGGGATTATGCGGTTGGGAAGAAGGTCAGCCAATAGCAAAGGCAAGAAGAAGGAGGCAGCAGGTTCGTCAAATCAAGCCGATGAAGAAGATCTCACGTTAGGTAAGGTTCCGAGGCGGGAGGTCTATAAAATACCGTACAGTGATGATGTGGAAGACCTGCAGCAAGGAGGAAATTCGACTCATTTCCTCTCGTGGCCCGCAGAACTACTTGTGCAGGCTGTTGGGTTCCAAGTGAGGCTTATTATCCATGTAGTGGCCGTTGCTCTTTGGATGTTCAACTTTACTTGCTCCTTGATATCTCGACCGGTTCATCGAACCATCCAGGTGAAGGAAAGAGCAACAGACATGGCAACAGATGCGGTGAATCAAGGTTTTGGGCTTATTTCACAGGTCAGAGAAGGTGTTGCGCAAACGGGGCCGATTGTCACTAAACTGTCGAAAAAGACAATGATGGGATGCTTGGGTTCAGCGTATGTCGTCTTTGTTTTGAGTCTCCTCCTCATTCCAGCTTTCTTCGTTGATCTGATTCTGGTGAGTCGAATCGTGGAGGAGCCTGTTCAGCTTCGAGAAGTTTTGAACTTTGACTACACGCAGGCAAGGCCCAGTGCTACATTTCCCGTTCTTTCAGGTCAGGATCTTGAGAAGGCAAAGAATCTGCCTCTGGAGAAGCTCGTTTCTTTTCGCAAAATTCCGGCAGGCCACTACTTTCACGTCAATGTGATCCTAACAATGCCAGAATCGGAGTACAATATAAGACTGGGCATGTTTCAGGTATTGAATCGTCTTTCTATCGGCTTTTTTTGAATATGTATGTTTTGTTTGGGTGTTGTTCTTGTATATGACTAGTTCATACTTTGAAACATTTTTTGTTGGACATTTGTCGGATTTTCTATGATGTGGTTCTACTGAAGATGTAGAATCCACTTTCATCTCGAGTTCTTTGTGTACTTTGCATGTTTTGAGTTCCACAAGCCTACTTCAGATTTTGCAATTGAAAATGTCATTCGCAATAAATTTTAACTTGAAGCCTGAAGAAGGCCAATGTCTGGACTCTTTGTGGAATGAAAACTGATCATGATACTTTCCGGGCGTGGCGAAGGATCTGGTTAGATTTCAGCCCAGGGACAGAATCTAGTCAATAAGCAGGGTTGCAGTTGTTTACTTCTACATTGTCTTTTACAGTCTTCCTGTTTTGAAATGCACTCGAGGTAGATGTATCTTAATCTCGAAGCGGACAAGAATTCCACCACTTCAACCGGGTAGCTTTTGATCGCGAATGAATCCGTTTGTGCTCAAACTTAAGATTCGCTGGTACAATGTCACGCTGTCGTGATGCACGTCAAAACTTAGACATGCTGTAAATTTTTCACTTTAGGACCTTTACTTTCAGTCCTAGCATAAAGTTCAGAGGATGTGACGACGAGCAATATGTCTTGTACGGGAAATTCTCATTTATAGGCCTATAACTCTTTACGTCTTAGCCAGAGCTGCATTGTAGCACTGGACAACTTCACCTTTCATTGGATTTAGAAACTTGTCCGCGGTCACATCGTTCCTTCAGTTTGAATTTGGTTGTAAACTCTCCGTCGTCAACTTAGTTTGGTATTAATTCAACAATCTTTAATTGAGCAGGTGACAGCAGAGATGCTCTCTGCAAGAAATCAAGTTCTGATGCGACAAAGTAAGCCGTGCATGCTGCGATTCAGGAGTGCTCCTATTCGTCTGTTCAAAACTGTGCTCTACAGCATCCCACTTTTGATGGGCTTTTCTACCGAGACTCAGAAGATAGAAGTAACTGTACTCCACGCCCAAGAGAAGTTGGTCCCCACAGCGAGCGTGAGGATTTTGCTGGAACCAAAAGCTGGGTATCCTCAGGGTGGTGGTTTGCCTGAGCTGTATGAGGCTGAGCTACATCTTGAATCAGCCTTGCCTTGGCCCAAGGCCATCATGCGCCGCTGGAAGTGGACGTTTTATGTCTGGAATGGAGTATGCTTGTTTCTTTTCGAAGTAGCTATAATCCTCTGCTGCTGTCGGCAAGTTTTGTTGCCTGGCTTGGGAGGACGTGGTCAAGATTATGAGAACATTGTAACAGGTGAACCAGCGGAGAATGCTTTGAATGAAGGCAATACGACGAAGAAATCAAAGGGGAGGAGGCGGGTCTACTTTGAAGATGACTTACCCGTATCGGAGTCTGTGCGAGGTATTGAGGGTGATGTGTTGCCTGTAAGTAGGTCGGGGGAAGCAGGTCACTTGAATGGCCACAGTGATGATTCTGATGCAGACGCTGGGTGGTCGATGCCCCCTCTCGAGGAAGCCATTTCTACTGTGGAGGAAGGAATGAGAGCAATGGAAGAGACAGTGAAAACCCTGGGGGAAACACTAGTGGGGGGCGTATCAGAAGGTCTGGGTCAGGCCTTATCGAACGTGTCAACCTCTCTTGACGAAAAGTGATGACTCTTCGAGCTTTTTTTGAGTGGCGAGTTGTATTATCCACAGCCTAAAGTGGCAGACACCAATTTTAGTCAACTTACTCTGTAATGGAGCAAACCCGCAGGGTACAAGCACTTCGGAGGAGCTTGACACAGTTTTGTCGTCCTTCATGGTCTGGTAGAAGTGACAAAAATTATTGTACAAAAGGACAAGCCTAGCGTATTGCAGGCTATATATCTGCTTCTTGGGAGACGTGTGCCTTCCACATTAGGTGATGTGCACATCTGTAAAAAGCGTCGAATTCTGGTGGCATATATCGACAAGTATCCACAAGTGGAGCACTAACTCTAACTGGGCATTCGCCGTATTGCATCAAGGTAGTTGAAGATCGGTTTTCACATTTGAGATGATTAGCCTATATGAATAGATAGAGAGAATTAGTAATTGTCGAACGAAGTTGAAGATGGCATTTTGTGTTCCTTCATGTTTCGAAGGTTCAAGGAGTGGCTCTAAATTGTCAAAGCATATTTCCGGTGCTTATGTTCTCACTGGCGCGTCGTGATCATGTGAAGACAGACGTGTCATTTGACAGCACTCAGTTGTCAGTTGTAAAACGTATGGTTCCTCAGGAGTAATTAGTGGGTGGAATGTATGAACCGATGATCTCTCCGTGAGGACATTCAGGTTCAGGTCCCGCGAAGGGAGAAGGAGTGTGCAGCTCGTTTCGCCTACTCTCTACGATGTCTTTTCGTTGGATACGATCTGATTTCTTTTGATTCCATGATTTGGACTTGATGCATTCTCATAGCATTCAAATAATTCAGATATGATTCATATCTCGTCATACTATTATGGAACCAACTAGACTTCAACCTTCATTCCTGGATCGTGGTTTTACACCCAACTGGCAAGCAGCGAACACCAGTCATTAGTCGGTATAGAAACCGACTGTATATGAGGACAACAGTGAATGAAACTTTTTATCGAACACCAGATCAAAAGTTAGTGCTCGGACCACAGTCCTTGTTATTGCTGTCATGACTAGACAGACAGCAGTCTTTGAGTTTAAGCTCACGCGTCGCAGCTTTCGGCTTAGAGCATTTGGCAAGGGCAGTTCGGTGCGAGACTTAGCCTCCAAAGATAATACGCCAGATGGCACCGTCGCTTGCACACAGAGAACAGTGTTCATGATCAGCTCTTTCGAAACATGTGAGCTCAGTTGATCTCACACTGAACGCCAGGACATCAGAAGACAGCTCGAAGCACATCACCGTCATCGGTTCGTTAATTGATGCCGAAAGCATGTTATCCATGAAACTCTAGTCTTCGGGAGGAGCACATTCTTTGTGCTCGTTATAAATCTCATAGCAACTGGAGGATGAAGGATGGAATGGGGGTGGTGCTGTTGGGATAGACGGGGGCAGGTGGGGATGGATACATGTCAGTCGTGGGTGAAGGGCGAAGAGTGTCGAGGACGAGATGCGAGCCAATGGCAGGGCGAAGACGGAAGCGCCCACATTTGGCAACCACACACAAGCATCTCACCCCATCCCCATCCACTTGTCTGAGCGGGACGTGCACAGAGCTCGGGCCTCCCATTGGTTGCGAACTGGCACTCTGACACACTGCCACTGCTTCCGCAACGCCGGTCGCCCTCTCCCGAATGTACCTGCGCTCAAATTCTCCTATTCACCAGAATCTGTACGCGGTGACAAGTTTCTTGCCCTCTCTTACTTCGTGGCACCACAACGAGCTCAGCTCTGCCCTGCCTGGCCTTCGGTACATAATGGCAGCCTTTTGATTATCCTCCTGGTAAGTGAATGCTGTCCTTGCTAACCTCTGCACTGAACGCCCGAGCGAGATGCCTGAATGTCATTGCCACAAGTCTGCCACCGTAAGGATCCTTCCTTCGTGTGACGACCTGGGCCCTCGTTTCGCCGTCATGGTCACGTTTTGCCGACTCGGGTCTCTATTGGGGCGATTTAGAATGCCGAGCTGTCTGCAGGTCTGTTGAGATCGGAGAACGAGAGACAGTGTAGTAGTGCTGGAGCAGTCGTAGTCATCTGAAGGATTGCACAGATAGTTGAAGTTGGATCGGAAGGTTGTGGTGGGGAATCTGTCTTTGCTTACGGTGGAGAAACTTGTTTTTGACCGATGAATTTGGACAGATTATGGGGGCGATGGGTGTCTCGTTTGGTGAACACAATATGCTCGTTATCGTGTGCTCTGACTTTCTGGTCGTAGCAGATAGCATTGGCCTCTTGGCAGCCTTTGAGTGTGTTGTGTTTTCCCATTAATTCATTGAAATGTTTGGTCTCCCATCTCGGTTCAGTTTCGAATTTTCATGAGCGCAAGTTGAGCGCCTACCAATCTGTTGGATTTTGCAGATCAGCTGTCCTGTTTCTGAGCCAGTTGGATCATCTGAACAATCTACCCAAGTCGTAAGATCATGGGTAGCGTCTCAGCAAGTTACGGGGTGGTGACTTTCTCACCAATCTTTTCGAATCGTCTGACATCTCCTGGGGCTAGGTTGGAATCAGATCTCAAGGACCTATTGTTTTATGCGTTCAAGGAAGCTCATTTGGAAAATAAGATCTGACGCCGTGAGGTTAGCTGAATGTTGTTGTAAACTCGTCAACCACAGAAGACTTGCAAACAATTGATTGCTGATCTTTGCAGCTGAACTGTGTCATTATGTCCTGACCTGATACGCTAAATCTTCTTCGTATCGTAGTTGTAGATTTGTTTTTCCTATGGGAGTCACGTCGTTCTATGTGGCAATTGCACTGATCAATTGGTGACTTTGGTATAGGTTTGAACCCTGCCATCCGTTATCCCGTCGAATTGTGAGAGCAAAATGCTCTCAAGAATGTCAGGAGATTATCAACAAAGCGAGCAAAGCTGTTCGGTGTGTCGGTGCGGCATCGATGGCAGCTGCTCTGCTCTTGACTTCTGCAACCCAGGTCTCCCTCTAACTCTCCAACTCTGCGAAGCATGATTTTATCTTTTTAGTTTACCTCTGAGATAAGAGAAAACATAATTGTATAAGCATGGAGTACGTTTTAAAACTGGTGGTTGTCTCTCACTATCGAAGCTCCTTTGTAACACCGTCATCCTTGAATTTTCGATTTACATTCATTTGAAAGATAGGATCATGGCCTGGCGTGTTCATGAACGAAATGATGATTGGTAAAAACTGAAACTGTCATAAGATAGTCAGAACCAAAGAACTTCGGTGTGTCAAGAAATTCTACTGTCCTGACAGTTTCGAACGATAAGCACACCTCTTAAACAGCTGTCTCCATCATCCTTACCAGGAGTATCATGTTTCCATGTTTATGATGGCATACAGGCGGTTCAATGCCTTCGCTGTTTTTTCAGTCTACGTTAAGCTGGTTGGTTTCTGAGTTATTTCAATGGACATTGTGGTCTCTGCAGTAAAGGCCATGCTTATATAAGTGTACTGGATAGACATGACTGTATGTTTTGATTTTCTTTGTTAGACTCCGAGTGCTACAAGATATCTTCTGTTACTTCTTGTTCCAGGACCATATCGTCTCTACAGTAGAAGTTCTGCATACAGCACTGTACTTGACATTATTCGTTCTCTGGTGTATTCTTCTTTGTTGGCTGTTATATGCGTTAAGAGAGACTTTCCGTTTCCGTTATTTGGCGTGATGTTGCCACTTCTGTTTCTTCGCATCATTGGAACCGCTTCAAAGGGAATTTTAATCTCAGAATTATGTCCAAATAGCAACTGTTGCCCTCAATTCTGGGCGCTTGTGCCTTATCTTTCATATTGAAGACTTTCATACGCCTTGTTTGATGATTATGTCCTTATACATGATTGAAATGCGATGCAATAATTACCGTATACCAAGTGGTGTATTGTACGACTGGACTTTGGTTTCGAACTAACTACCATCGAGGGCTAGAGCTGGACGATGAAAAGTCTTGCTTATTAACCACCTGCACCAGGGACATCGGGGTGCTCTTTAACACCTCAAGAATACCTGACGTTTTCTGGACATGGAGTTAACAGAAACATGTCAAGACGAGATGCATAATCTGAAACTAACGTACGTTGCTGGGAAGGTCATCGATGTTGTCTTACCGAGCCTAACTCCTGCATGCCCAGATTCACGAGTTTTGACATTCGAGACTGTTTTTAAACTTGTTTTCACTATTGCGCGAGTGGTTCCATGATCGATGAAACCACTCGCGCAATAGTGAAAACAAGTTCTAAGACGGATCTTTCTTGCTTTGAAACCCTCCTTGTCTTCGGAAAATCACTAGCACTTACATGAACATCTTAGACTGAACAAGTAGTATCAGCTTATGAATCGGAATGACCTGCAGGTCATAGGAGGTCTCTCAGGAGGCAGGTCTGGAAGTAGAATGAAGCCCAGCGAAAATCCTCCTTGTAATTATAGGTGAAGCAATCTATTAGTGAAGCTTGCAGTCTACACTCATAGACCGCTTTGCCTATCTCTACAAGGGGGAATCTTTTGCAACTTCTAGAGGCGTCAACGACCTAGGAGCAGAGGTACTTTGGTGAGGCGACTGGATTGAGCACTAACACAGTATTTGATTTTAACTCGAACATGAAGAATGACATCTGAAGTGTTTGGTGTGGATCTGTAAATAACGACCTCGTTTCTCTAAAACTTATTATATCATGGACCTACCTCGCCTACAATGGCTTTAAAAGACATGACCACCTTGTCAGCTGTCTTTACTTTTGAGCCGTTTTCTCGGTAATCTCTTCCAGAAAACTTGAACAAATCCGGTTGTACGTTCGTTGGTTGAATTATGTATTTTATCTCGTTACTTGAATCTGTCGCTTATCTTCGTAATGAAGCAACTTCATCTGCCAGAAGAGTTGATCCAGGTGGTCGTTGGATGTGGGATGCATACATGTTTCTGACATTTGAGAATCTCAATTGTAGGCAGGCCACAGCTGAGGACCTACACGTAAGTACCGGGAGTATGTGTGGTGACTTGGCCCTGGTGTCCGAAAGCGACATGATTCTGAAACTGGAACCAGGGCAGAACGCTTTTGAAGAAGGAACCACCGGTCCTTTTGTGATGGGTGGAATGAGCATGAAGAATTTCGAGCCTGCGCGATATGCAGGGCGTTGGTTCGAAGTTGCATCACTGAAGCTTGGCTTTTCTGGGCAAGGGCAGGAGGATTGTCACTGCACTCAGGTAATACGCACTTAACCTTTTGGCTGCAATAGTTATGGAGTGCGCGGGCGTGTTCAGTGTAGCAACTTGCATTTGGTTTGAAGTTTTCTGCTTTCATCTCGTGACACTTGCTCTCCGAAGCGTGTTCTCTCAACTTTTCCACGGTTGTGAGGAATGAACGGTGGCATAAAGCAGACGTCATTTCTGCCTCCTTGCCTGAGCAAACAAAAGATCTCTGCGAGAGTCATCCTCTGTATTTGTTGCAGATCCGAGCTTATTTCGGTCAGGATTAGCTGCTCGTTTACTGATCTTCACTCTGACAGGGTGTGTATACATTCGATGAGGAGAATAGAGCGATCAAAGTCGACACCTTCTGTGTGCATGGAAGCCCAACCGGTTATATCACAGGAATTCGCGGGAGGGTGCAGTGTGTTGCTGACGCGGACCTTGCAAAACTTCAGACCGACGTAGAGCGAATGCAGATGATACAGCAGAAGTGCTTCTTGAGGTTTCCGAGTATCCCTTTCATTCCGAAGCAGCCTTACAATGTCATCAACACAGATTATGAAAATTATGCTCTTGTTTCGGGCTCAAAAGACACGAGCTTTGTACAGGTATTCCGTTCGACCTTCTTCTTCCCTCTACTTATGGACGAGTGTCACACTCTTCACCCGTCACGTTTATGAGGATAGTCGAGCAGAATCCATGAGGCTGGATTGAATATTGTTTCAGTTTGTTCCATTTAGAACACGCATTTTCGATGTATATCGAGAGTTGAAAGACAGGCATGATCATTTGGCAGTTCACTCCTGTCCTCAGTTTACAGTATATTCAATGAGTGTCTACTCCAGGACCCATGCAAACTTAGAAACTGTGGTAGATGTCATTGCTTCGAAGATTCTGACGGAACCTGCCCAATTCCCAATCAGCTCATAAAATGTAGTTAGCTACGATACAAATTCTATCAAATGGTAAAAATGAAATGTGCGGCGAAGCTTGGAAGACAACTCTTACAGCTCTGTAATATTTTCTTTATGTGGTGTGTTCTATCGTCCAGATTTATTCTCGTACACCAAATCCCGGTCAAGAGTTCATCGACAAGTACAAGAGGGAGCTGGGCGATCTGGGATTCAATGCCGGCCTCATCAAGGACACCCCTCAAGACTGTGAAGTGATGTCCATGGAGGCGTTGGAAACGATGATGGCACGCCCGGGTATGGAGGAGGCAATGACCAATAGGTTCCCACCGCTGGAGCTTGCGTCCTCAGGCCTCGAGCTCAATCCTTTCACCAGCTTGTTCGACACGCTCAAGAAGCTCGTACAATTGTACTTCAAGTAGATGATGCACTGTCGGTGAAAAAATCTCATGTATATCAGTCAGTTGCTGTAACTTACCATCCTCTCTCAGCTGTGCTTCCAGAGGTGCAGAGAAGCTTATCTCGAACGCATTGCATATTTTTCTATCGATGAATATACATGAATGAATGAATGATTGAAAGTCAACAAGATTTTTGCTCATATCTTACGTGAGTGATTTTCAATGTGCCATTTTCTGATCCAATGATTGTAACTCGAAGTCCTAGAACCGGTCATACAAGCAGAGTGCCGAAAGCAGACGTATCCTGTACTGGAGTGACACGAACCGTCTGTTCCCATATGTACTAGACGCGAGTTGAACTTTTCTAGTGCACGTGTTTCTTACGCTGGTCTCCTCTAACTGCAGCAGCCGCACTTTCATCCAATGGAGCAATCACCGTGAAAAAAAAACAAAAAAATTCTATGATGTCCTTCAAGTCATTAAACTATGAAAAAATTGGCAACATCTGTGCATTTCCTTGGCATTGTTGTTATATACATAGACACACATAGCTTGAAAGGCCGCCTAAAATCTGCAAGTAGAGTCATAGTAGTGACCTACATTTCTGGGACAGTGAAGAGTTGATCATGCCAACCCCTTGAGCAATTACGAGGTTGCCACTCCGTAGAGTTGGAGATCAAACCAGGTGAGAGCCGACTGTGCAGTACAGTGCATCCAGTGGATGCACGTCTGCTTCAGTCAGATGCGTTCAGTGTTGACATGTAGGCTTTTCCGGAGATGGTCGTGGGGATCTAAGACTTATCTGCGTTGTCCGTTCTTGGTGTCTATACATATATAATATCGGAGGAAGCCGAACCTGGTTATACGTCGTCGTGAAGTCGAAGTCGAGAAGTTCAGACTCACGCGTTTTTTTTACAGTGTTTCTACAAGTTTTTCTATTATCAGCATGACTTCTCAAATGAGGAATCACCCCGTCACAATTCACTTTAGTAGCTGACAAATAGATGTTTTGAACTTTCCTATTTTTCATGACTCATATGATAGCTCTTCGATTTGATTCAATTCAATGTTGTTGAAGTGTGGTACTTAAATAAATTTGGAGTTATTCATCAACCCACTTTCATCTTATATACTCATAATCTTCACATTCAGTATGTAAACACAATGTATATGACTTATTATTTCCAGCTCTTCAAATGTCCCTGATGCACCCATGAGCTTCACTTCTTTATAGACCACATGTCAAAGGTCATGTTGCAGAGGGAGGTCACAAGACACTCCCATTTGAAATAAAACGGACTCTGTTGTTTAGAAGTCAAAATATTATTTCTATGTCAAAGGACAGTTGATGCACAACCTTGGTTCTAGACTTTGTCTACATTAAACTAAATTTGACAAGATTTGTGACATATATAAGGGATAAAAGCGTACAACGTTGGAAATTCTAACAGTTAAGAGTTTTACCAGCCTCGTTGCGTTAAAAGTTTTTACCGTTCAGCGTAGATCCCAGTGACGGGAGTTTCATTAGACGTTGTGAAGTCAAACAAGAACCTTTTTGTCTCTAGATACCATCAAAAAAACATGAAGAAAATTAAACATAAACCCAAAGAACTTTTGCAAGGATTGGTATGATTACTCTCTTCCAACTCCAAATTTTTGATGTTCTAAATGAAGAAATAATTGCACTCGCATGCTAAAGTATTTTTCAACAAAGAAGTATCCATCTTTCGGAAGATATAGAAAATGACCTTACAAACAATTATTTAACCCTGTGCATGGTTGTCTTCAGAATCTCATTCAGGAGATGAAGATTATGATTATGAGATTATGATTAGATTATGAGGTCAAGTCACACGCATAATCAGAAAATCACGAACAGTGGTGACATCCTTTGATGGCGGACTACAAGGTGCATCTCATTTAGCTAAGCTTGTATTCAGCTATGGATTGAATATATCGCCTGCAGGTTCAGTCAATCAACGACAATATTGCTATCACGTGTAGTACAAGCAGTCAAGCTAGGAATTCCAGAAAAGCGGAAATATGAAGACTAGAAAACAAACAAGCACTACTCAAAGAATCCTTGCAGTACTACTTGTTTGAACAAAAGCTTCAACAGATACATATATTCTACGGATTGTGAACAGTTACCTCACATCTTCCGAACAAAGCCAGTCACAGTAGAGAAAAAAAAGCAACGGAAGTTTTCAGACTCTGGCTTGATGGAAAACAATGAATTGTCCATTTGTCCCTTCGAATTTCATGATTTAACAGGTTTGGCCCATTCAAAAGCTTTTGAGATGCTAGTTAGCATTTTATGCAGCCAATACAAAGAACGAAGAAATCCTCATCTTCACACATTTGAGTTCAGATCGCTTATATGCAAATCAGCTTGGTCGAAATAGCTTCAAGCTTGTCTGCAAATAATCATTAATGTAACAACTCCTACAATTTACATCGAATTTACAGAAGTGTACAACAGATCTGAAGCAGAATGTGACTTACTTCAGTCCTCAATTATCACAATATTTCTACATCTGATTGTCAAGATTTTGAAACCTTTGCTCTAGATATTCCCACATCCAGATCCGTACGCCTACGTGATGACCCTGTTTTTCTCCTGCCTTTGCATCTTGGAAAAGAGAGTTTCTTTCAGTGGCTGTTTAAGCTTCCTTCTAACTGATGTCATAGCCCTATAATTATAACAAGTTAACCAAGTGGGAGGAAAAAGTAGCAGCTGAGTGCAGTGTGACATGTCCAGTCCAGAAACTAGGGATAATACAATAATAAATTTAAAAAAGTCTGCACCTGTTGCCATCACTGCGTAGAAATCCATTGACTTTGAGTCTTGAATGTTGAAGCTTCAAGTCCTTATTGTATGTATACACATGGCTTGGAAGGACCTCAGATATATTGACTGTGCGTTCCTGGTAATGGACAGTTTTCAAAGCAGGAGACTTGACATCGACATCAATACTGAACTCCACGAGTACACCATGTTCCCAGACCATCGAGACTGTTGCGGCTCCCCTTCCTCGTAGTCCTTCCACCTTCCCAAAGGGCCATGCCGTTTTCGGCAAAGCTGGCAATAAATACAAAGATTCGCCATCTGACTGAAGCAACATTTCTGCAATGGCACCTGTAAACCTGCAGAGACAGATGATTCAAACAATTTCCTGATCAGCTGAATCCAGTTTTGAATTCATCCAGTTCGCGCGATGCGCGAATTCAGCGAGAAAAGAAACGGAAGGCACTCATGAGTATACGCCTGAAGTCCCTAGACATACGTTACTATGATCTGAGCGGGGCTGGTATACAGATTGACTTATGGGAGCGAACGAGATTTATTTAGAGGTAGAAGGAAATAGAGAAAGCGCTGAGCTTTTGAAGTACTACGTGCTTTCGAAATCTGGATTGTAGGCGTGTCTCCAGACCTGGAAGACTTGTAGACAATGCTTGAAAATGGCGGGTTCGAGGCTCAGAGTAAAGTCTAAATTGCAAATTATTTCTGTCCAGTTTCTGCTAGTGAAAATTAACTTCCTCTGTGACTCAAATCTAAAAGGTGCCTGCTTGTATCTGCGACAATTCCACCATCAATGGCGAGGGCTATTTGTAGCCCTCGCCGTCTTCTGTACCTGTTTAGTAGGTTCTCCTCGCCATTATCCATACAGGAAGATGTATATGTGCTGTATGGACTATGTTACGGACCATACAGCATCCCAGAGAATTCTTATGGTTTAGCAGTCTTCTCCACTTGAGTTTGGAACCATCCCACAAACTTCAAAAGAAGTCACTCCGAATTCTGATCTTACTCCAAGTTGTTCTACTGTATTCCAACATCATTGATAAGTTTCAAGATTTGAAGGGAGGAGAGTCGATTCTTACGGGGGCTATTTCTTCCAACTCGAGTGTGCTCTGAAGCTGAAACTTTGTGGGAGCTTGGACTTGGGCAAGGAGAACCTGCAAAATCTCAGACCGAAGTTGAAATTTTTGAGGTTTGAGTTTTTGAGAGGAGAGAGCCGAATCTTGCAGGCTGGAACGAAACCAGATTCCTGCCCGAAACCTGCAAGATTCTACACTCTGAAAAACTCTAAACTCAAAGATATCTCAATTTTATTCTCGGCATTGCATTAGGTCTGAAATTTTGCAGGCTCGTGTTCCCTGCCCCAAGTCCAAACTCCCATGAAATTTCAGGTCCAGTGCACACCCGAACTCGAAGAAACAGCTCCCCTGAAAATCGACTCTCCTCCACTCAAATCTTTACTGCCTCCTTGGAAGCCTAGCACGTTGAATGGTACTGATATGTTTCCAGCAATCAACAATCTACCCCTGCATTTCCAGTCTACAGAGGTCATCAGCGAACTTCAATCTGGGAACAGTAGTCATCCCCACCCAAATGGCCAAAGCACAAACTTAGTGTGTTCCCACGAATTACGAATAGAATCACCAATACATCGAAAAGTGTCGGGGAAAGGAGGCCTCGGGCTACTCCGTCAAAGGTCTCACTAAGTTGGCCGTTAAACAAGGCTCAACTCTTCGTGGTCATGTGGTCTACTAGTTGCCCGCCCTCAACATTTTCAAAGAATGGATATAAAAAAATGGGTGAATAAAACGTCAAACGTATGAACAACTGTAACGAGGCTGCAGAGCACTCTGTTCGACATACTTCATGATGTTTTCTCAACCTCGGCCACTCTAATAATTCCTGCTTCCAGATTAATTTAATTCCCCATGGTTCTCCCTATTGTTCATACTTCAAAGCATGTGGCGTACTTTGTAAGCACGTAGTGCTCCAAAATTTGGAAAAACAAGTAAGATCTATAAAGATTGTAATTTGGCTGCCTCAAATGTTACTCCAGCTAAGGTAAACAAATATTCAAGAACATAAGAAAATCGACTTACCCAAAGTTTCCATCAATCTGGAAGGGAGGATGCGCATTGAAAAGGTTACAATACAACCCGCCTCCGTCATATCGTTCCGTTGTCTCCTGCGGCCCAATTAATCGGAACATTCTGACCACCATTCTGTAAGCATGCTCTTCATTCCGAAGACGAGCCCACAAGGCATTCTTCCATGCCATAGACCAACCTGGACCAATTTCTCCTGATACATTATGCACGAGAAACTGGAAGGATCAGAAACAAAGATGGCAAGGATGGGAAAGAAAATCTTGATCCCAGGAGTCTTAATTTCAACAGCCAGAATTACTAAAATCCGTAGATGATCGAAAAACATTTCTGAAGCAACCGAGCGCTCCTATTGTTAAGTTCGTTATGTCATCCTTATGGTTCTCAAGCATTAACGCACCTCGTTTAAGCATACTTTTCTTGGCAGCATGACATAACTCTGGGGTTTTGAGATGTGTAATGGTATGGCCGGGGAAGAGACCAAACAAGTGGGACATGTGTCTATGATTCACCTCCGGGTCTTCAAAGTCTTGGCCCTAAAGTTTGTACATGATCCACTTGAAGTTAGGAACGACACTTTTGCGGTCGGAGCCAGTGAAATCCACGGATAGTACTCTCTCAAGCATTCGAGCACGAATTACTTACTCACCCATTCCAAGAGACAACCATCATGCGCGAGCTTCACTGGCCCAAGTCGGTCAAGGGTAATTTTGATCTTGCTGACAAACTCCACATCTTTGTCTCCTAATATCTGTCAGATACAAAACAGGAGTTAAATCAGGAAGGGTCAAGAAATTGAAATTCCCATCCACCCAATACTGTTTTGAAACAAGTTTCGAAACTTAAAAGATATACTGGACCTATAAAATATGAAAACAAACAGAGTTCCAGAAAGTTCACGGCCAAGGAGTCCTTGTGTACAAAACATCTGGACGATGTCTATACATAAAGAAACATACCTGATTCGCTTGAACCAGTGATTCGAACAGTTCTCTTATGATGGCCAGGTCCATAGCGGATGCATAAGCCACGGAAGCCCAGTTCCCTGTGTCGGGAGAAACGAAATAATGCTCGGGCGAAGTTGAGGGATTTGTGATAAGATTCCCGTTGCTGTCCTCGATAAGCCACCCTAGCAAGAATTGAGCGCATCCTTTCAAAACGGGATAGGCTCGATCACTGAGAAAAGTCTGCAGTCATTCACTCCACATAACCAGATCATACAACTACTTCGTACAACGGCAATATCATTCATTTGCACAATGCTTTACGCGCGTTACAAGTAGCATGAACTACTACTCCTCATATTATCAAGAGCATTTGAGTCACAGATGACGAGAAGGAGCATCATGCGTTGCGATATACCTTGTCAAGAGAAAAGCAGTGGTGTTCCCACAAGTGGAGGCTTAGCCATGCTCCACCCATGGGCTCCAATGTTAGAATACTGATTACTCCCTATTCCTTCTGTCGCTGCTTCTTGTGTAATTATAGTTAGGACTGTAATTATGATGTAATAGACACCACTACCCTTCCCACTACGGAGGTGTCCCTGTGATCATTAGACACCACTACCCTTCCCACTACGGAGGTGTCCCTGTGATCATTAGACACCACTACCCTTCCCACTACGAAGGTGTCCCTGTAATCATTACCTTTGTCACCTCGGATTGGGTACTTAAACCCAATCCGGGTTCTATGTTCCATAACAAATCAGAGCTTCTCTCTAGGACTCAGTACCTGTGTCTCAACCCTTTCTTGCATTGCTCTTGCTTTGCTTTCCTAATATATGTTCAAGAGCATTTGAGTCACAGATGACGAGAAGGAACATCATGCGTTGCGATATACCTTGTCAAGAGTAAAGCAGTAGTGTTCCCACAAGTGGAGGCTTAGCCACGCTCCACCCATGGGCCAAAGAGCCCAGACTGGATCACCTCCAACAGGTGCAGTTTGCCCCCAAATGTCAACGTTATGATGTCCAACCCATCCTTCAAGCCCGTAATTCACCTAATCATTAAAAAAGCCACGAGAAAGTACCCTTTAGTCAAGCTGTACTCCAAGACTGCCTAACATCTGCAAGTATAGAAATCAGGCCAATATAGAGAGGAAAACAGCCAATATACTCTCAAACCGCATGGCCCACAAAAATCTACTACCCAACTTGAAGGGCACCGATCAACATCTTGACAAATTCTTGACTTACTTTGGCAGTTATCCGACCATTTATTGTCATTGTGTCAACTATATCAAAAAGAGGGCCATGACACTCGGACAAATTGCAAGTTTCTGCAGGCCAGTAATTCATCGGTAAATTGATATTTATATGTGGTACACACCTGCGCCACAGTCACCAAGATGTTAGTGACTCCGCTAAGGAAATGGCAAATAAGTGGTGAATCTTGTCTACGATCTGTGGAGGGCAAGAGACCGAGACCGAACAAGTAAATGAGGCAAACAGAGCTTAGCGAAGCTAAAAGATTCTCGATCTTCCTCCAGCAAGATGATAAGTGAGATAAACGTGCTCAAGGTCCTGTGTTTATCAGCAATACGATTAGATTAGCACAATAAGGACAGAGAACGACGGCCGACAAGACGCATTGCTTGTGAAGTACCTCCAAGCAGGACTCAAATCCTTGTTCCATATTCCCTGCAGATTTGAAACCATGGTCCCAGGTCGTGAGCTTGCTAGCATGAGATATCGTCCGTACTGGAAAAGTAACGTGACCATCCGAGGATCCTGATCCTCCGCAAACCCTTCCAATCGATCTCGGGTTGAAATTTTGGCATCACCTTTTCTAGTAACCTCTTGACTATCCTGAATACGTGCCTGCTCTACATCCGCACGCGGAGAACTCCTTCCAGTTGCGGTATTCACAGTATTCTCAGCAAATTCTTCTGTTTGGAGAACGTCAATTTCGGATTTTGCAAGACGAAGTTTCAACCTCCGAAACATTGGTTGATAATCATTCAAATGGGATTTCAGAAGAGCATCAAATGCCAGACCTTCAGTCCCTTTAAGTGCAGCAATCGCTTGCTGAGATGGATCTTTATCAGCCAGAAGAGGGCTTCTGAAAGGTCCGTCAAAAGAAGTAGAAGTCGATAGTAAAATCAAAGCCCAATCAGCATTTTGGACGCGCAGAATCTGACCATCGACGGCTTCGAGAACTCCACTTTCACCACCAACTCGAACTTCAAGCGCAACTGCAAACGCCATCCCGTGTCCAGTGACGGAAGAGTCCACCACATCTCCAGGAGCCCTCCCTCTCACCAGTATTTGATTTGCGGTGGTTTGCGAAGGGCCTTCTTGCAAGGGGCTTAACAAGGTTACCGCAAAAGATACAGAATTGGCCTTATCAGCAGAAAGTCTAACAGCAAGGACCTGCTGTGGATTAGACGTGAAATATTCTCGAGTATAGGTGACATCCTCAACCGTGTACGTGACCGACACGGTTGCGGTATCTAGATCCAGCTGCCTGTGATAGCTGTCAGGATCAAAGCGCTGGTGTGAATCGTCCAATTCGAGCTCTATAGCCCCCAGTGGTTGGTACAACTTTAAAACATACAGCAAACAGTTCATCTTCAGAATAGAGTTAACTGAAGCTTGTAGGTCGTTCAAATGAAAAAGAAGATAATCAATACAAAACCTTCCAAAATGCACAGAATCTCTTCTGAAGTATGGCAGACAGGAAGGAGGCTCCGTTCAAATTGCAGAGGCTTTTCGTAAGGCTAAAAAGAAAGGAAAACGTTCTAGCATTGAGAGACATGATATCGAGAAAAAAAAGTGTACCGACAAATTAGTAGAAATCAAAACGAAACCATTAGAACCTTTCACCACCTGACAGTAGGGGCCGAGCATTTGCGACGCTAAGTTGGTAGCATCAGAAAACTTGCCCTCACGTACTGCTTCTCGGACTTTAGGTAATAAATCCCTCGCCCTAGGGTTGTTCCAGTCTTTCGGACCACCTGTGTACAATGTGTCATCTGAACACAGCACATGCAGAAGTCATTGCAGCCTTCAGGCATACTAGATAACTGAATCGAAGTGACTGCAACGTCTAAGGAACAAACTACTCGGAAAAAAACTCCAACTCAATAACCATCAATCTCATATATAGCTTTGGACGAAACCCTGCCAGCAAGCAAGAGCTAGCAGGTCCAACCTTTAGAAATTATGCACATGTACGTAAATAGAAGTGACAAACAATAACGTTTTGAGAGGCTTTTAGCTTAACAAGGTACTTGAAAGATTACGAGAAGCTGAAGGTTATTTCCGAGCGACTGTGACAGCTGAAAATATGGATACTCCTGAAACTGAAACAAATTGCAACAACTGGTTCTTTCATGTCTGCACTGGCAAGACAAACACCATCTGGGATGCACCAAGGATTGCAGTGTAGCTCTTTCTCCTCAATATAATTGCAGGGGTCTACTGCTTAACTGTTTGATACATCCTTTTTCCTAAAATCTGATGTGCGGTAAGCTAGAAGGAGAAGATTCATTCGCTGCCGCTGTCACAACGAGGTATATACAAGTTTTTTGAATATAGACGGATTTTCTCAACCAGAATATCAAGGAAACGATAAGAACGAAATTCTTCCTCCGCATATAAAACTTTGTGACAGACTATAAACAAAAGCTTAATAACATTATCATATCTTTCTGATATGTCGAGAGGTCTCACGGCATGTGAGGAATCACGACAAGCTTCATCAAATCTCTATCAGATGGGCGTCAACAGGAACAAAGACACTGTCACTTCATCGTGAAGCCGGTCGCAAGTACAACTTTAAGAAAAATATGACCAGCGGTTCTGAATGAAAAACCTTGAGGCATAGAGATGAGAAGACGCAGCCACTCGCAGTAGAACCTAATGAAAACGAGAAGCTATTGCATACCAGCTTGGGAACGAATGAACGACACTTGTGCTCTGGGTGAGTACTGAGGGGAATTCATCTTAACAATTCAGTTGATTGAACAAAGGACTTGACCAGTTCACGATTAACGAGAGCCCCGAAAGTTGCACAGCAACTTCCATTGACCTGACTGCTTAAATGTTGCCCGAGCACACAATCCTCACCAACCATTGAGCATGATGAGATCAAGCGGGATGCCTCCAAACACCATCGCTCCCAGTTTTCCATTGCCCAGAGGCAAAGCTTCAGTCCAGAACGTCGCAGGTTCGAAGAACTCGACCTTCAGCAGATCGCCGTCCCCATCTTCGGCTGACGCCAAATTCTTCTCCACCCTCACCCACTGACTATCATCGTCAGATACCGAAACCTCCATAGCAGAAAAGTCACAATGCCTCGAACTAATAATTCTCCTTCCTCGCCTTTGAATTGATCGATGAAAGAGCAGCGCTACAGCTCAGAGTCTTCTCAGGCCAAGTAGGAACAAAAAAGCGTCGGGAGTCAGATGAAATGTAAATGTTTCCGCTTCTTCTCCGATTACAGAAGAGCTACGTGACATTCACTCCGATGGGCACTAGAGAAACAATTGCAATTTCAGAGACCAGTGGTCATGCGTTCCGAGTTGTCAGTTCCAGAGAGGAAACACTTGCTTTGAACCTGCGCTGGTAACGGTCAGATAGCTGGGCTCATTTCTGCAGCATATCTCGTAGTAGCCATAGAATGATGTCATGGGAATTCACGGCAAGCGAGACTCACCTGCCAACCTTCCTCCTTCAAGGCGGAACGGCTTAGAAGCCTCGATAGCTACGCCTGGAGTTGAATGTCACGGGTTGGATAGGCTGGAATCCAGGTGACAGTCAACGAAGGCATATATATTGCTCGAGAGGTAATAAGCATTCTACCACTTGCAATCGCCAGCCGAGGCTCATTATTGGTTCCAGTAGAACACGGACAGAAGAAATTGCCTGTCCTTGTCGGACAATTCTGACCAATCTGCACTTTTTGCCAAAACAGTGAGACCACGCCAGCGTTGCAGGATCTCTTCAGGATAAGTTCACAGAAGACTAAGTAATACAAGCCTTTTTTGGTGTGATGTAGAAAATTAGCAGTCCTGGAAAAGCTTTGCAGTGGACCCCAAATGCGTTCAAGCTTTCCCGACGGGCGAATCCCGAGCCTTGGTAATGAATTGGTGGAACGGTTGCGTCACCCGAGGTTTCGGTCTCCACAGTGGAGACATTTAGTTCACCTCGGCCATGTTGGCGAGATCTTGGACGTTTGGTTCGGTCCTTTGTAAGTGGGTATCACTGACCAAATCTGGAGGCTCGATGGCCTTAATGCCATCGTCATCATTGAACCCCGCTTTTATCACTGGACGCTATGAGATTGATCAAAGCTAATTTATGTGCACGGCTCTGGCACTGAACCCATTGATGATCGTACACTTTCAGAGGGCACGGTCGCTGACATCTTTAGCCGATGTACTGAAGAGAGACCTTGGCCTCACCAGGAGATTTCACGTTGCTTCACTGAGCAGTTATCATCATAGACAGACATACGATCCACCCGCGCTCCGCATTACAAGATCAATTCCTGATTTCCGACGGTTGTGCAGATTCTAAGTTTCAAGCAAAACTGAGATGGTACGTCACTCGTCTCTTCAATCTTTGCGTGGAGGTAATCACGAGACACTGTAATCATTTGCCAGGACCCTCATTATATGCGGTCTCGTGTAACACCGAGATGACATGTGGACTCTGTTCACCGAGAAAGCCTAACATGGCTTCTTCAGGTGTGTGAAACACTTTTCGCCTTCCGCCACCTAGAAAACGAAGGCTTTCCTCCACATTAGCGCAAGTACCAACATGAACTGCCAGCCAAATTGGTGGTACTTTGAGGCAATTACAATCTTCTACAACGATACCTTAACAAGAAGATAGGAAACGCAGGCGTTGTAAAATATCAACCGAGATGCAGATGCTATCGACGACATGCAAAGAGCATTCGTATTTCCCAACGACAGCATATATGCAATGTAGATCTCAGCTGCGGCAGACTTCCTTACGTGGAACTTAGTGTCAAACAATACATCGTCTATCTCCGAGATTATGCCGTGTTGAGCCTTCAGCCATATCATCCTTGGACAGAATTGCTGCGTAAGTAGGATATCAAAGTCATTCAGATGTCACCGGCATCGAGAGTATTAACAAGTGACAAGCCTCATGAAGAGTGAACAAAACGGAGTATAGTAGGGAAATGAAACATCGAATGACTCTTTTCGCTATCCGAATGAAATCTGCCAGCCAGGTTAACATATGGTCAAAGAAAATGATTGGACACGAGGACACAGTTAGAAGATACGAGCACATTTCAATTGACACATTCAGCTCGGAAGAGTACTTGTACGCTGGAGGCACTTCGTCTGAAGTCCGAGGAGACCCATTATCAATTCCTTGAAAAATAAAAGAGTCGCATTTCCAGACTACAGACCACTGTAAATTTCTTTCGATTTATCCACTCTTGGACGGTACATAACACCTGTAACTTCAACACTTTTGGGTTTAACTTAGACAAGGCGTAAGTTTCGTGAACATTTCCCCAGGGGATGGCACCCCGACTGTCTCCTTTGGTCATCCAAAAACCACTACAGGTCAGCACCAGATAGCTGATTTACCAACCTTCAAAACCGTTTCACCTCCTTCGAAAGGGTATGATTGTTTTCATTCTCATCTATAATACAGAAGGTTCTTAGACCTACAGCTACGAAACTCCGGGAAAGAATGAGCAGACCTCTCTATCTAACTATACACAGATCCCGCAAGAATAGTTAACTACTTAAGCCAGTGCGCTGTAGTGTTCACACTACACAGTATCCACAACATCCCTTCTCTTTTTCTTTTTCTTATGGTGAACCCCGTCTGGAGTTTGCACACTCTCCGCTTCTTTCCTCTTCTTATGTTTATGACCACTGGAAGTGGAAGGTGTCGGCATTACGTCTGGTTCTAAATCAATCACCATTGGTTTGATAGGCTCCTCTAGCACATGTCCGCGCTTCTTCTTCTTATAGACGTCTGGAGTTTCAAAAGAATTTGCATGGTCCCTCTCGCTCTTGGGTGTCTTGACCTTTCTGGCTACATCATTTGAGTGTGGAGTCTCGTAAGAATTATGCACACCATGCTCCTCCTTCGGTGTCTTAAGTGCTGTCCCCACATCATTCGCATCTGAAGATCCTTCAGACTTCAACAGCAACTTCTCTTTCTTCGGGGTCTTATGCTTCCTGTCCGCATCATGGGTAGATCTGTGAAGAACACAGGGTAATTCGTTTAGAAAGTACCAGCAAGCGAAAAATCATTGAGCACTTGGAACTCTCGCTTCTTCTTACTCTAAAGCCAAACTACAAGGTAAAAAACCTATCCAGAAAGTTGGCGACCAACCGAGCAAATGGAAACTGTAGCGTAACTGACCTATCTTCGGCTGACTTTGACTTGGACTTCTTTCTCGGAGTCAAGGAGGGTAGTTCAATCCAGTTAACACAACCCGTTTTCGGATCTGCTAGAGATCCACATAAATCGATAATATGTTCAGTTTCCTGCAAGCTGTCGAAAATTTATGAAGAGTGAGAACATAAAATCAGATCACTTGCAACAGTAAAATTAACCCCTGAAATAAACCACGAGTGAAATGATACATGCCAAAACAAACAACGACTCGCGTGATGATGATGCTTCGAAACAAGTACGTGTGCTCGAGGCTTACCTTTTGACTGCAAACCTAATGGTACTTCCCAGCCTTATTGAGTGTCTCTCATCAGATTCGCTGACCCAGGCTCGTCCTTGGGGCTGCAAAACAAGAACGTTCAACATCACGATCTAATCTGGCATAGTTTGACATCTTCAACAAGCGCAGGTATGGAAACATAAAGCTTTCAGTATGAAATATCCACTTACATTTTCGTCATAGTAAAGATCTTCTCGGATGTCGCTAACGCCAATGGCGGCGTTAAACAGTCCAAGGACAACAACTCCGATATAGTCTTTCTCGATCTTATTCACCTTCCCCTCTGAAGAGAAAACAGTAGCTCACGTTGATTCAACTGGTATAACGGCACGTGGTATCACAGTTACAATCTCTTAGTTTCATCTAAGTTTTCCATCCCCTTTTCCCTGTTCAACCATGTCTCACAATAGAGAAGAAAGGTAATACTTACGGACATATTGCAAGTCATGAAATTGGAAAACTACTTTCACTGATGGCCACAAATATTGCTCTCAGCCTTTGGGCCAAGTTCTGTGCGAGTAAGTACATGGCTGGCCCTGTAACAATCATCACACAGTCAACAGACTGTAGCCGTGATCGATAGTACTGAGCAGAAATTGACTGGTGAAGTTCATACAACCTCTTAGCCTCATGACATTCAGATATTCGCAGACAGTATGAAGCACTCGACGTATCAAACGTTGTGGTAACGAGCCATGATATATTTACTGCTCTGGCTAAAGTCTACGGATCTGTAATGAGTGTAAGATAAAATTGAAGAACGTAGGGCCGTAAAGAGCCAGTGGGCAAGAGATTACATTCGTGGTCGGAAAACAACCCCTCCCACCCAACACTCCAACTCAGGTGTTAGTCTCAGACATTTCCTGGACACAATCATTTCGAGGTATTCACGTATACCCAAATCTGAATATTTCAGTGGCAACTGATAACATTATAACCTGCTGAAGTTTATGCAATAATGTAGAGCACTCACCTATCAACATTCCCGGAGAAGGTGAGAAGATGAGCAGCTTCGCTGTCAAGTTTACATGGAAATAAGGAGTGAGACCGGCAAGGATCCTCGCAGATTGTCCAATTATCTTAGGTTTCAAATATCCCAATACCACACCGTCAAATTCCTCGTTGAACCTGAAATGCAAAATTGCCCCGAAACTGATCAGATTCATATCCACATTATCAAGCTTCGTCCTACAGTTGTAACAGACGCCACCCAGCCCTACGGATTTTTTGGCAGTGGGAGAACAATCACCCACACTACTAACTTCTCAGAGACATCCACAGACTGCACACAAAAATTCGTGCGTCCCGGTGAAATCTGCACCGGAACAGAGTCATCAGTTCTGAGTGGAAAGAAAATCGCTGCCAAGGACACCTGATGTGAGTTGACGCGCTTTTCAGAGTACGACGGTCACTCAATTTGAACGACCTTACTTAATTTAATACCGGTGTCAAAGCGGTATCAAAGTGAAAGCGAGTGAGTAGAGACGATGTCCAAGTTAATCTTCGGTGCTCAAACTGACCAAAATCGAGATGCATCACTATCCACAAGTACTATGATACAGGAAAAGAACTGAAAAAGCATGCTTTGCTTGTTCTATTGCCACAATATTGGACGACAAATGTACCTACCACATTATATGTCACATCCCCAACAGAGACAGCGTTCGGAACAAACGATGTGGCAATGAGAAACATGTCAGGCGGATAAACTCTGGCTGCTTAAAGGTCCCAGGCACCCTCCATTTTCTATCAAAACCACTTCTTATTAATATAATCATTTCATTCTTCAGAAACTGAGAAGAGAAGTTGATCATGTCGACATCTCATCTCAATTTTCGAAGGGCAATTATCCAGTCTAAATACATGGGTAAAATTTTTAGTCATGTTTAACTTGCGTTCGGAGCAAGGGCGAGCCATCGAGTCCGATTGAAGATTCCCACATTAGAGTCCAGATGAGCTAATCAACGTGTTCATTTCAGACTGATATATCGAAAATTGACCGTATCCAACCCCTGCATTGCCACCGACGCGTCACAGAGCTAAGTTCATGAGCAGGGAGCTTCGAATCGTACTTGAGGAGAAGAGAGTTCAGGATTTCATGCACGCCCTGCCTCACATTGGCTGCTCTGGACGGATGTAAGAACACTCCAATTTTGGCGTGAACCACCGTCATGCCCTCCATGTCTGCACCCGGTCCCAATCACTCCCGCATCGAATTTCTCACGACGTCATTTCGACCAGCAACTCTGTCGATTCGATGGCTCACTGTAAGCCTCGAAATCGGAAGCGTTGAGCGCCACCGGCTTAGGGTTTTGCACTGGCCTCTGCCTGTTCTGCTCGTGCACACGCCCTGCACAGGGTTTAACGATTTCCTCCTCGCATGCGTCCGGCCATCGATAATTTCCGGTAAATAACCGTGAACTTAAAGACGTGCGTTTCTCTCTGCGACGGAAAATGAAAGTCCTAAGGAGAGGATGCAGGACTTGCCGTGGAAGCCAGCCCGAACTATTAAGACGAACCTTGGGACTTGGGATGAACATGCTCTACATCGTTGCAATTCATTTAAGGTTGTGCATTATGTGCAGCATTTAAATCCCACTTTTGCAATGTTTAGTACAGATTTCTGTTCTGTATTTACAGCTTGCTTCAGTTTGTTGGCATATTTTCATGTATTGTATAATAGACCGTAAAGATGTTCGATGTAGTACTAAAATTTACAATAGACCGTTCACATACAGCTTGCTCCTCTGAATTATGATCATGAAGTACGATGCAGTACAGTATTCAGTTGCATACTGTGAAGCACTACGTATATAATCGTGTTTTCCATGTGTTCATCTGCTATAGTAATGTATGATATATCAGTGTCTTGTACGTATGCTTTTGAAATGTACAACATTCAGCTTGAGGTGAATTTTTCTAATGAAATATTTAAGTTGATAATATATAAATACCCATAACTTTGTTTTGGGTATGAAACACATAAATAGAAAAAAATTTCTAAAAAAATATTGTATAGATTTGTACCGGAAATAATAGTACTACGACAACACTTCTGCTTTCAGATCTCAACTATAGTTACTGATTTTTTTTCTAAGACTCTTCTTTCTTTTTGTAATGTCTACTGGCAACATTATTGATGTAATATGATCTTAGAATAGATGTAAATTAATGGTCTGGAAATATATATGTGTGTGTATATATATATATATATATATATATATATATTCCCCAAATTATACTCATAATTGATATCAAATTATCATTTCTATTCCTTGTATCGTGAATTTGTTGCATTCCAAGCATATAAAATTGCCATTCGTAACTTAATTCCTAAATTCAAAAAAACGCATATACTTTACAAATCCTTTTATTTCACATCTATCTTTATAACTACTACACTAAAATAAAAATGTGATAAATTTTTCTCCTTTTTGGATCATTTGCATAGCATATTATACATTAATTATATAAATAAATCTTGATCATAGTACATGGATTTAAAACATAAATTGATAAACAAGAATCATCCCATATTCAAGACTCAACCGTCTAAACGCTTCATGAGCAACAATACTCTGATAAAAAAATAAATTTGAAGCTTATCGATTAGGTTCAGTTTTGGATACTTGTAAAACCAAAGCTAAATCATATCGCAATACCTCATTTCCTGTAACATTAGAATGACATATTTAGAGCTTCTTATTTCAAAACTTTCAATTAAATATTTTCGTTATTCACTTTCCAAGACAACTTATCAACATCTCACTTCAACCAGCATATTCAAGACCGGTAATGCATGTTGCAATTTCAAATTCATTACATGGTAGAATCCATTTTCAATCGGTATTCCAGGGGTAAACATTACTGATAAATAGTTATAATTTCTCCATCGGAGAGATTCTTAAATAAATACGTTGTCTTTTCCAGAAACTTCGTCTAACAAGAAAGAGCTCACAACGGGAAAAAACATTTCTGAAACAAAGAAAAACGTGCACCTTGAAAGATTCCAAGTCCCTCGTCCTGGCCTTCAACCGCACAGTACAACGGCTGAGTAGCTCTCACGTTTGCCACCTTGGAACCGAAGTTGAAGCTGTCCACGTCAGACGGTTGTGGACCAATAAGGCTGGCGCCTCGAGTCAAGGTGGATCTCTCGACCAATCAAGGGGCAGGAAAACCCGTCATTGTGTCAGGCCGAAGTTTTCGCCCAGTTCGTCCTCCAGACCCCTCCTCTCCTGTCTCGTTTGCTTGGCTCGAGAACTTTCTGAACTGAAGAGAAATGGTGGAGAATCTGAAGACCAGTTCACTTGAACCCTCGGTGCCTCCAACTCCACTGGCAAATCGTTCAAGGCCCGTGGAATTTTTCGTGGTCATCATTCCGGAGCGGTCAGTCGGTTCCCTGTAGAGCTCTTTCTGCCTGGTCGATTGCAATTTCGAACCGCGATTTTCTGGTTGGCAACTGCTGAAATTGGAGGCGACCCTGTGGTACTGGGATCATGGCGTCATCTCCAGCTGAGTAAGTTTCGATCCTGCAGCGAATGATTGTGGATCATGTTGAAAGTGAATTCATTGATTACCAGAGAAGTGTGCTGATGATGAATTGTCAATGTTGTGGTCGAGAATTTGCCCTTCGCATGCCAGAATACAGCTGCAGGTACTTTTGCAATGTTTCAATTTTGAAAAATAGTATGGAAGCCTGATCAGGGATGTGATTTTGCTGAAAGTTCCTCTTTAGAGATCCGGAGTTGATTTCTTGAGAAGGGCTTAAAAAAACTTGGTTAAGTGGTAGCCAATTGAATAGGCGACCACTCTGAGAAACTGAGCAAGTAACTGTACGCGGGCTGCTTGTAATATCAACAACAGAGTCGTTCCAAGTGCATTGTATCTTTGTTTTTTTTTCTTTTTCATCTCTCAACTTTTTTATATATCGTTGTGAATAATCACTTTATTTGTGTCAGAGCATCTATTTTGCGTACAGTGTTTTCTACTGGTTAGGGCTGAATGCATTCTTCTAAAATTGAAGAAGCTTCTGCACACCTGCAGCATGTTAGAGTTAGAGGCAGTCATTGAATTCTGCTCATGGTCATTTCTGAGCTGCCTGATTTACTTCATTAATCGAATGTTCCATTCTTATGGAACCCCGAAAGGAAAAACGTGTAACCCAACAGCTACTAACGATTGAAATTCACATGTTCTCTGCAGATGATGTAACTTTCTATATTCATAACCCGTCTGACAAACATCTCATGTATAATATGCGCATGTAGGTTTTATCATACACTCCCTCCAATCAGCAAAATCTATGGAACCATATGTTTTGCAACCACAGTCGCCTTTCAATTACGTGTGCTCAGCCCTGTGTGGCTCTTCCTCGACTACGACCTTGTAATTCGAAAACTTCAGGTGGGTTAGCCCTTTGATGATCTTTGTTCGATTAGGTGCGTCTATTTACGTCATTGGCTGTATGGTTTGAATCGATATCTCAGCCATGATACCGAAACTCACTGTATCGTACTTTTATGCTTTATACACAAAATCACCTTGAATTCTAATGATAGTCTCGTGTTAGAGGAATTCCTCTATGGATTTACTCGATACTTTTGAAAATTTTCGTTGACCGTAATATGACACCACTATTGCAGTGAAAGTTATAATATTTTTGACAAACTCTGCAATTTTTATTGCTGCAGATTTGGAGGCTGTTGACCAATTTTTTCTTCCTGGGAGGATTTTCGATGCATTTTGGGATGCGGATGTTGATGATGTGAGTACTATAAAATTACACTCTCATTTCGCCCCAGCTTTCGTCTTGCGACGTTTACAAATATGTCCACAGAAATTTTAAGAATTATTAATTTGTACATTCGATTCGAAATTGTTTCCAACGATTGTAACTTCGAGTACTTTTTTGCATTCTAATGGTTGTTAGTTTCAGCCTAAGATCATAGCCGTTTCACTTGCTAACTTGCTATCCAATGTGCCTCACTGTTTGTTGTGGCGATCAGAGCTAGATATGGTGTGCAACTTGAGAAAGCTTCATTCGAGAATCGAACGGCGGACTTTCTGTACATGTTTATAACGACAATATTCACTGCCTTGGTGATTGCGAAACTGACTTTTCTGCATGAAGTTTCTCTCGTCTCAATTTAATTCAAATATTTTTGTTCTGCCGGGCGTGTTCCTTTGAGCTTAACAGTAGTAGTAGCATGATAGTATAGCGTAAGGATGTCTAGTAGGTGAGAAGGATGTGAAAAGTCCTCAACGATGGGCCTGGTTACCTGTTTCTAATGTCTCGAAACTTACTGCAGTTGATGATATTCTGACGGTTTGTGCTATTTTCAGGCTCTAACCTTTGCAATACCTCCCTTGAGGACAGTCTTCCTAAGCAACAGCCTAGTTTTTATGCTAGTATACGTTTGGAGCCGGGAGTTTGCAACGTCCAACGTTAGCATCATGGGTTTAGCCCAACTGAAGGTAATAGCTTTCAGAAGCTCACCACGCATGCCAGAAAGTGTACTGCGGTGCTCGCACTTTGGTTTCTCCACTTTTTCTTAAGCCGCAATTTTTTTGGCTTGTCCTTCATGTTATCTATCTCTAGAGTAGTATCAAGTACTGGGCAATAGGTAGTGCCACTGTCTAAAGCTGTGTATCCTGAACAGTTTCTTACAATTGCTTGTCTTCCTGTGTGTCATGATGCCTGAATCTGGGGTTTGTCTCCTGTTCATGTATCAGAACCTTTTCACTCCTTCGAGTTTTAAGCTGATTCGAATGGGTAGGAAAAGTAAACAATAACATAATAAAGCTTCATTGGACATTGAGAGATGAAGTAGGAAATGAGTAACAGTTTTTGCTCTGATTTTCGAGTGTTGCTTACATTCTTAGCTTCCATGTGCAGGGATTCTATCTCCCATGGGCTTTGCTGGCAGTGAATACTATGTTCGGGGCTCCATTTATACCTGATTTACTCGGCATAATTATTGGTCATATCTACTACTTCCTCACTGTTTTGTACCCAAGAAGCTCGGGGCGATATCTGTTGCTCACTCCTCCATGGGTGTATCCTTGCCTCTTAGGATCAAATGAAATCGTGTCTGATAATACAGTTTCATGATTTATCTTCCGAGGATTGTTGGCGTTTTTCACTTGAGAGGATAAGGTTTACTAAGTTGTATCTTCGGTCAATTGAATATACTTAGATTGAACGCATGAGCCTGACGTTATTACTCAGACGGCCGTTGGAGGGAAGCAGGTTATGTAAAACGATTGTGATGTTGAGATGTTGTCAATTTTCCTTGACGGACTTTCTGCAGACATAATTTGGTATCAAAGTATGCATTTCTGAGGCCAGCGAGTTCTCCTTCTGCAACACCTCAGCCGCGACCAGCTGCAACCGGACGAAGTTTTACAGGTCGGAGTTACAGGCTCAATCAGGACTGAGAAATATTGATCACGAAAAGCACGGTCGTGGCATTGAATCCGTGGCCAGCGAATTTGGCTACAGATAGTCTGGAATCGATTCCAGACTTATGAGGTAAGTACGCTCAAACAAGAGGACGTCGACGTTGCTTACGGAGCTGTTACAGCACATACTTCTGCAACGCCAATTTAGGGATCGAAGAGTATCGCACTGTGAGTTGAGGCAAACTCACGGAAAAGGTGGGTTGGGAAACAGGGAAAGTAGATTTGAAGGGACTCCCTTTCAAGATTTGGTTCTGACAGTTTCTTAGGTTGAAGTAGATTACTGGAGCGTTTAAGACTCTCCCATGTACATTACTCAAAGGAGCAGCACAACTTTCAGTGCTGATCATGAGATTTGGATGGCCGTAGGTGGCCAACAGTCTCACACAGATGTGACCTAGGCACACAAGTCAGAGAACATTACACATTAGCAGGCCATTACTCTTGAGCAATAAATACGAATAATCTCGGCACACTTTACTTTCACATTTAGTGCCTCTAACATCCACAGAAGTCCAACTCTTTAACCTGAGTGGGAGTTTTATCAAATCGTGTATTGTACTTATTGGTAGCAGATTATCTTCCTACAAATTAGGATGTGCATGACACGAATAATTTCTCATTCCTAAGAAAGTTTGGTCGATGTAGCTGACGAGATCTTGGGGATGGCGGGAGGTGATCGATCGTGTTCACTTCAGCCTCTGGATTCCTATTCATTATCAATAATACCCAAGTTTGCACATCTGTTCCTGGGAACCTTCATGGTACTAGTGAACACTTCTCTTCCACTTTCCTAGTTTCTCCTTACTTTCATATTCACACGAACGTCATCTGCATTTATTCGACCTGCAGTTTCCCTCAACTACGACCAACCAGCATTGGGCTGGGATGCATAACTGTTGTTTTCTTCAGGCTGTGCTTGAGAAGGACACAATGTGTCTTTTTCACATGTGCTTGTTTCTGTTTTGGTTAGATGCAGGTCACAATGTAAGTTCACTCAACTGGCACACCCAGCCACGCTATTCTTATTGAGTACTTGCATCGGATATATACTAAGACACACATGACATGGAATTCAAGTCTAAGTTTCTGGAGAATGCCATCTAACCATGTCATGAGAAGTACATATATACAAAGACAGCTCCCACATGGAACACGTCATAGTCAAAGGATGAGGCTCTGATCGTTGAACTTGAACCCGCTTTCGTGTCTCGAAGAAATCTGGTGTCCTTGTCATCCCATGTCACTTGATGAAATAGATGACAGCGACCTCACTCGAAAAATTGCCACATTACCGACGAAACAGAAACAGAGTATTTTTCGCTCACATATCCTGTCGTGTCACACCCTAAATATGTATGTAGATCTGGTGCTTTTTCCGGGGGAGATGCGTATCAGAGCAAGAGCGGGTAGGTTCAGGAATCAGGAAGAAGCTAAACCTGGTGAGCTCGTGAGCACGTAAGCAGGTTATTGATTGCTCCGCAGGAAAGTTGGATTTCAGAATGTTCATGCGAGCCTGTACATCTTGTAGAGGTGTAAATAGAATTCAAGCCTGCAGATTCGATCGTCCAATCTCGGCATCGCACAGCCTGCGAGCATACATTCCAGCAGCTGGACATCGATTGTTCTCGAGCTCAGACACTATGGCAGCGGAAGCACCACGATTGAACTGTATGGGGAAGCCGGTCGATGCACCGGAGGCAACGAATTCAGTCGTCCGACCGGTGTCCAATGCTGAGAAACAAGCTCGAGTTCGAGAGCTGATGTCCGCAAGCTCAGGTAATAGTTGGGATGAATGCTGGAAGGAGGGCATGACTCCGTGGGATGTGGGCGGAGTGACTCCAGTCATTCAGCATCTTGTGGAGCAGGGTGAGTTGCCCCAGGGCAGAGCTCTCGTTCCAGGTTGTGGTTCCGGGTACGACGTCTTGGCTTTGGCCAGCGAATTTCGGCAAGTTGTAGGTCTGGACATTTCGGAGACAGCCAGCAGTCAGGCGAAGAAGAATGCAGAGCAGCACCCTCGAGGAAAATGGGTGCAGTTCATCGTCGATGACTTCTTCACGTACACCCCCGAGAGCCCATTCAATCTCATTTTTGATTACACATTCTTCTGCGCCCTAGAGCCGGAATTAAGACCAAAGTGGGCCTCGAAAATGGCTGAATTACTATCTTCCGACGGCGAGCTCCTTACCCTCATGTTCCCCATCGATGACTTCGCTGGAGGGCCCCCTTTTGCTCTTTCAGTGGAGGCCTATGAGAAGGTGCTGATTCCCCAAGGGTTGATGTTGGTTTCTTGTGAGGAGAACGAGTTCAGTGTGCCAGCTCGCAAGGGTAAGGAGAAAATTGCGCGCTGGAAGAAAAGCTCGTCGAAAATGTGAAGGTAAATACTCGAATTCTGGTGGAGTGATTCGATCAGGGTTCCTGACATGTGAAGCCTAGGATGATCACTTACTTCGTTCACTTGATAAAGTTAGTGACCATAGTTCCGAGCACTATCAGCGATAGCATGAAATCCAGATGTGAAGTGCTGATCCACAGCCTGATGTTTCGCTATTCCTTGGCAACTGTCCTCGCCACAGAATATGTGCAGCTTCTCCTCTTGTAGCAGCTTCAGATTCAATCACATGGAGCAGTCAGGTTCCGAGTTGGGATTAAGAATCGTCCACTTGAGTATTGAGTAGGATCGAATTAAAGTGTAATGTTAAAACCGAACAAGTAAAATCACAGAGCCACGGCCACTGCTGTGTTCATAGAACGATGCAATCCGGAAGTACATTCTTCTTCTGCCAGGTTTCGAGGATCTGAGGATTTGGTGCATTTAAGTCGGATCCAGGGATCCATGTTGTGTCCATTTTGCCCACTGCCCAACTTTTTGAAGTTTGTTATCAACTTGTAGATCTCTTCAAATCATCTGACTTCACATATAAAATACACAATTACGATGCATTTGCAGAGCAACTCCCAGCCTCGGCACGTGGTCTATGGCAGGCACCGAAAAATATGTACACTGTGTGCCCAACTGAATTTCAAATCTCGAACAGGGTCTTACCAACTCCCTCCACCACAATTCGAGTCAAAATGGGTAAACGAGGGTGAGGGGCCGGTACATTCCTTGGTTTTGTGTGAAGCGTTCGCTGCACGTGGAGCGAAATTAAAAGCAGGATAGTTGAGCTGAGGGAACCAGAAGTGTCCCCCTTGTTAAAATCGTGTTATAGATGCAAACCATGTCGTCCTCGGCACCGAAAGAATCGATCAATACGGTGTCGAGTTCTGAAATCTGCAAACATAATCTCAAACCGCACCAACAGTTTGTTTCATCGTGCATGACCAAGACTTCCATCTCAGCAGATCTTTTTCTCCTTATTTCGCCTGTGCAAGGCTGTGGTAGCTACGCACGTATGGATGAGCACATTTTGGGGTCCGGTGGATCCGTGGACATGCCTTCCTTTCTCTGCTTGTGCTGCGTTTGAATTTAACCATTGTAGCGATCGGCCTTAGCGAAACTTAGCTCATGGCGTTTCAACCTTGGGCAACTGCTACAATTCCTGCAGCTAGAAGCCATTTCTGCGTATGAATTAAGATTCCAACGAAAAAATGTACGGCCTGGGCCGATGCATGCTTTTAATGGCGGATTAAGCTTTCTACTCCAGAGAGTCAAGGATTTCAGATGGGATTCATCTTGAGGTCAAACTGCCATTCTTTAACCATTTTCCACTGCTGACCATTTCAGGCAATGGCGCGTACCACGAGAGCATCTGAGCGGTAAGAAACCCGGAGGTTCATTTGGTTGTACCTTCGGCACCTTACGTCATTAAAGCTACATTGCGACTCACGAAATGCGTACCCTCGAAGTTTCACATATACTATCTGGATGCTGTTGGAAATATAATATTCAATGACAAATTCCAATTTGTCCGCATTGAGTCCTTGACTTGATGCTCACAGGACAAGCGAGTTATCGTTGATGCGACTGAGAATGAGCAGCTCACGCGGGAGCTTGAAGATTACAGGCACATCTGACTCATACCATTGCTCAGTCGATGTGGGTGGTAAACATAATGAAAGAAAAAGAAAAGAAAAAGGTCTTCGAGATCTTAGTCTTTGGGATTCTAAGAGGATATTAGTCAACATAGTAGGTACTTACTCCTACTCGTACGTACTGGCCACGCAGGTTAGAAGTCAAGCTCATACACTCGATGGTGGTGGTATTTGATCTTGGGACTAACAGGGAGCATAGCATTGGCCCTTACATTATATATGCTTAGTATTCATGAAAAGACCTTACTGTCTTATGCCTTTCACATCCATCCATTGATAATAAAATTCCATTTTATTGTTCGAGTATCAGCTAAATAAGCCCATATTTTGAAAAATTTTTACTCCTCGTTGCACATTTAATTTATATCCTATCCTGAAAGCCTTATCACAGGTATTATATAAGCATCTTGGGATTTCTTCTTCTGTAATGATTTCACGCAGTTATTGGAGGTGATTGTGTAAATTTTCGTGAGAGGGAAATACCGCTTTCAAATTATCATGTGTTATCATTACGTAGCTTCCAATGATGTCTAACCTTTGTTGTAACTCATTACGTTTACAAATCTTTCAAAGATTATTTTTATTTTTCTCAGTTTGAAAGAAGTTTCACAAAAAATAATCACGACCCTTTCAAGGAGCACCATCACACAAACCGTGCAAGATATTTAAAAGCAAGAAAAGTCATCATTCAGTTGCCCACATTCACGAACAACCCAACTCATGCAAAATCTGTGTTCAAATTTAACACGAGGATGAACATAAACTGCACTTAATTAGTTGTTCGGATCTTCCAAAGAATGCTCCAGACCATCTTCGCGTTAAATCTTCACCACCAACGAACAATTCTTAGTGAATCCCATTTACCGTAGGTCAGACGGTCTCATATGATTTGAAGCTCGTTAATGCTCTGCCCGGAATCAAACAATTTCACGCCTCGGTAACCATCTTCTTCATACTCTGTGACGTCCATACATTGACGGCGAGAGAATGTAACATGTTGTGAAAGTCGGTTGAAACACATGGTCCTTCAGAACTGCAGTCCTTTCAGCGCCTTCCACCAGTTTCTTCCCACAGTTCACACGGGCCTTGATTCCGACATCCTCGTGACATTCTCTCGGACGTGGATATTGTGTGGCAACACTTTACATGGGAAAACTTTGCAAGATCTAAATCGTTCCATACGCGTATAGTATACTACAGATTTGCAATGTGACTCAATCATCACCACTGTCAGAATCGTAGTAACCTTCTGCCATGATCACATCTTTAGCCATGAAGTGCATGCTGTAATGAAGAGTGCTCACAATGATTGACGGACCTCCGGTGGCGATCATAATACTGTACTAAGATACTAAAAATCGACAAGAATCTCTGCAAGTTTTTTCTAAAAGTTTGGCAATACAGCCTTCAGAATAGGCAGGTGGAAAGTGAAGGGTGCTACACAAAACTTTGTGTGGATACCTCCTTTAATTTTATAGTTCATAGACTTCAGAATAGGCAGGTGGAAAGTGAAGGGTGCTACACAAAACTTTGTGTGGATACCGCCTTCAATTTTATAGTTCATAGACTACACGGGCATGGTCACAATCCCTACATTCTAGTTTAGAATACTGAAGTTGTATTAAGTACTCAAGATAGTCATCTGAAGTCTTACTGTCAGAGATGAAACTTTGCAACTGCATGGCACTGAAATCATGTTTCCCATTTTCCACTCCGTATAAGAGTGGTTTACTACAAGCCCTAGTCATGACTTGATACGTCAGTTTGTTGTCTAAGCTCTACGTCACGCTTAAAGTAATGATATCATAGTTTCTATATGTGAGACGATTTCTCAAAGTCAAATCATAGTTGTAATAATTTTCCATATTTCCATTATTTCCCCTGTATCAAATTTTTTTTAACTGATTAGTATTTAAAAACTAACATAAAAAAATAATTTAATGTGTTATTCCGATTAATTTCAATAATATTATTTTTTTTTAAGAATGTCTTTGTATATATCATGTGTTATTTTTTAAAAAAATTAATTATCTATGAAATATACATCCATTAATGTCTAATCGAATTGATTTAGTAGGCGGCTAATTATCACTCACTTGAGTCTAATTATCCCTCACTCTACTATACAGAGATCGTTGGTACACTCGGGTTATAGAATACGTGTGGTGAAAATCAAACTTTGCGAGTTTTCAGTCTTTTCCATCTTCGTCAAAGATGACTCCGTGGCTTTTGCCGAAGAGTCATCTTTCCAGCCACCTCCGCGTTCGAGTAGCCACGTTAAAGGCCTGGCGGCCGAGACGTACTCATTGGAAGGAATCCCCGCCGAGAGTAACTAATTCCGCTTCGGAGATGATTAGCCTGAAGGGTACGACATTGTCGACGTTGTGTTGAGTCGCGCACTAGGTGATGATGTCGCATCGAGCTGCTCGTCAAAGAAAGATGTAAGAAGCACGTCCAATTGCAAACTCTTGCGTCACTCGATTGCACTGAGTTTGTATCTCAACGCTCTCATTCCCTTGAGACAATAATTGAATCGAACACGAAATTGGAGGCCCTAACGCAACAAAAGGCTACGCGCAGCAACCGAGACGTCCGCTCGATGTCAAACTCCGAAACTTGAGCAAACCGAGGCCGAGATGCGCAGACGCGCGATTCCTAAACATCTGATGAAAATTCCGGACAATTCATCAAGACTCTACCTCCTGCTGCTAAAAGTAGCCCCGTCGATTAGCTGCTACCATGACTTGCACACTCCGTCGAAGCTCCTCATGAGGACCGAGCTCGTCGGCCACATGCACACACCAAGTTCCGCTTCTCTCCGGCGCACGCCAAAAGTGTGTACGTGAGAAATTTCTTTCTAACTTATAGCTCCCATAATTCACGACAAATCACTGCATCCGGCTCAATTCAGATGACTCCGTGGCAAAAAGCCTCAGATCATCTTTGACGAAGATCAAAAATACTGGAAACTTGCGAAGTTTACTTTTCACCACACGGATCCTATAACACTAGTGAACCAATTAGCAATCTCTGTATAGTATGGTGAGGGCTGATTAGCCCCAAGTGAGATATAACTAGCCGCTCCATGATTTATGTGGGTATCGCATCTTTGAATTCTAACATAATATGTGATTATCAATGTATGTTATCATAATTTAATTGTGTAGAATGATGCTTATACTTGTAACTAATTTTATTTTATTTCCTTTCAAAAATGAAATATTCCTATGATTTGACCTCAAAATTTTTGGATGTTAAAGCACACTTTTAATTTATTTTAAAATAATTATTATTATTTCATTCACGCTATAAATTGATGTAATTTTCAACCGTGTTTTGTTCATATATATATAAATATATATATAGAAAAAATCTTTTTAAATAATTCTTAAAATTAATATTTTAATTTATCAAATTATAAAAAATTTATATTTCAAATGCACTAAATAATTTGATATAAATGATTTATTTTTTTTCAAAAACTATAGGGCAAAAGTCATTATTAATTTAGATGTAAATTATAATCATTATGTATTGATATAAACACGAATTTTTTTTTTATCACAGATTCAAAGATTATACATGTTTGAAAATAGGAATTATAATTATTTATCAGAAAGAAGAGAAGTTTTTTCGTTTTTATTTTTTAAATAAAAAATAATTCAAAATTTTCAAATATTATTTATAAATTATAAAAAAATAAATTAATGACATAAAAAATTTATAGCTTCCCAAAAAAATTTAAAAAAATATTTGAACATAACTCCATTTACAAATAATTGAAAAAAAAGTAAACATTATCTAAGCAATCAATTAAAAGCAATAACAGTGTATAAGTTGCAGCCTTGAATATCAATGAAATCATTTCAATATATTTCTGATGCTAAGTTCTAAGATAAAATAAAAGAAATAGTTATATATCCATTCAGTTATTGAAAAGTTCTTTTAAAATATGTTCATAATATGATGCATTTTTTTACATTATGTATCACTCACTATTTACAAAATTTAAACTTACTAAAAATCTAAAGTATTGGATTGATCAGAATTTTCAGCTTCAATGTTAAAATATTATGATTTGAGATAAAAAAAATTCATGTCTAAATTGATTTCAAAAAATTGATTGACAAGAATTAATTGCAGAGCATGCCATGAGTTATTTTATGCAACAATTTTTTAACATCACTATGTATTGTTATTTTAAAACTTCAAACTCAATTTTGACTCAAGATGATTGCGTAGGTTGTAACTGAATGCAAAAAAAGTTAATCTTATTTTTAAAAAATTAAAATCTTTTTGAAATTTCATTTGAAAAAAATAATCCTTTTTTCAGATGAGTTTTTTTATATATATATTTGTATGAATTTTTTAAGCAATGATTAGTTTGGTTTTGATGATTGAGTTCGGATCAATAACATCTTTACAAAATATCTGCCAGAAGCTTTCTATGACATCAATTAAACTTTGAATTTCATAATCATGTAATGAATGTCAAACTCATAGACTTGTTCATTGCATCAAATTTTTAATAGTCGACTTTTGTGAAAAGTTTTCAATGTGACAATAATGTTCACAAACTATTATCACCATCATACTTTCTCTTCATTTGATATCTGGGAAAAGTGTAGTGAAGAAATATCAATTGACCATAAATGATTTTTCCTAGCCCGATGGCAATATTTATTATATTCTACCAGAAGATCACAAATTTTTGACTTCGTGCAAACTCCGTCATCCTCATGAATGTCTTTTCTCGAGACCTAGCCTTTGCTTCATCTTTGAACACCGTGATGGGATCTTCTTATCTTTTTGGCTATCCACTTGTCTCTCTTTCGTAGTTTTCATACCCATGTTCTTGGCCTCTGGTTTTAGTTTTATTCCTTGTCATCTCTCAGAGTTATCAAATCATAAGTCTCATAGAATATTTGGGTAATATACCATATATTTTACGGAAGTGTGGCATGAACTTAAAGCTCTTCATTACCATCGATAATGTGAATATTTGTTCATTGACTCAGACATTTGATGCCAGCTAGAATTAGTCATGTTAGATGATTCGTTGGGCTGACATCTAAGAAACGAAGATACAATATACATAACTCTAGTGTTTTAGAAGGTATCCCGATTATGAAGTGAAATTCTAGAAATGAGGCATATAATGAGAGGGGAAAATACCAGAAGCAGGTTCGCTGACAACTTTTGGCCTCCTGTGGAGAAGAGGGCAGCCCTGTCAATATATTGGCTACTACATGACCACAAGGGTTGAGTGCGAACACCGGAGACTTCCCCACAAACTGATGGTGAACCAAGTTGCACCTCAAAGTTCCATGCTCCCACTTCTTTACCTTCTCGTTCCATGGATGGGATATTCTGCAGCCAAATTCCATGACCAAGAACTTGTCACAGTTCTTTAGAACTCCAAAGCCACTGACAAAGAAGGCAACCCAGTTCTTGGTCCGTCACTTCAGAGTCGACTTGGCACAACGTCAGCACGCCAGAATGTAGGAAAATCCCAATTCTTTTCAAAGAGCTTTTGGGGATACCATTTCCTTACAGAAGAATCGTTAATAAATCAGGTCCGCCGTGACCGCTACATGTTCCTAGACCTTGGAATGATATTTTTCTTTGTCTACCGAAAGAGATAAAGGAGATGAACATCGATCAGCTCCCTCTGCTTTTTCTTTTCAACTCTCGGTCGAGCTGGTTTTGCAGATGTGAACATGTGTACCCCTTTTAGAATCGAATCAACTCTTTGAAACGATCGACGCTTGACCCAGGACGTGCTGATGCGAACTATATGTGGAGTCTAGCAAACCAGTTGTCACATAACTGTCAAAATGTAGATAAAAATAATCGCAAAGAATGGCAATCGGTGCTCTGCGGCTAGACTGCCTGTGGACCAGGTTCATCGGGTTCACGGGGAAGAAACCGATCCAGTACAACCATCTAAAGACAGGTAAAGGCGAAGGCGAAGGAGTCTAGACGTGCTGCGCCGGATCAGTGGCAGTTGAGGTTTCCCTCGTAGTTTGGAGCTGAATCAAGTGGGAGGAATCTCTCTAACCGACCGTAAGAGGGCGTAGCCCACACGTCAGTGGAGTTAGCACCAACCATGACTGTGAAGTGAAAGAAGCGATCCATGTGATTGCATGGACAGAATGTCACTGCCATAGAGATCCAAAGAAAATATATCTGTTGCCACGGGAAGCCCATCGTTAGGTACGTACACATGAAGAATACACTATCCAAATAGTCCTATAATATAACAAATTACCCAGTTATGTAGGACAAAGAGGATGGGAAGAACCATTCGGTTCTACAAGGTTGAAAGAAGAAGCATTAGGCTAGGCCTTATATCATCATGATTGAGAAATTGGTTATTGCATGTACCGTGATTTTTGTTCATTCATATGTAAAGGTTGGAGCTTAAGAACTGATCCGGAATAAGATTACTCTTGTTGTTATCGCCGGTTGGGGCCTATGGTTCATTATTAGTCTCATTATTCTTTTAATTATTTTTTCATATATATATAATTCTTCTAAGCATTGAGATTTTGAAGATGTGTATAGATCTCGAATTTGAAGGTGGAATTCTATTCAAAATTTGATTTTATGGATTCTCTAAGCATTGTAGCTTAAAAGTAGTGCAACCAAAACTTAAAAATAATAGTACTTTCCAGACCCACAAAGTTCAGCGCGAGCCGTTTTTACTTAGCTATATAACATCAACGCATCCATTATGTTGGTTTGTTAGTGTTGTAAAGATTGTAAGGAAAACGACTACTGTTTCAAAATAAAATAAAAACACAAATTTTTTCTTTTTTTATCTTTATATATTTTTATTCAATTTTTCATCTAAGTATTTCTAATTATACACAATCCCTTCATCATGACTCTCATGTTTAACAATAACATGCATATACGTAAGTTTTATATCAAAATAACGTGCCTAGAAAAATAGGTTCTCCCAATGGTATTTAGCTATCTAATATACAGATACAACGTTGGATACAAATAAATTAAAAACCTTTTTTTTCAAATAGCTTCGGAATTTTTGGAAATTTCGTATGACAACCGATTGCATCTGCAATTCTGTTTCTACTACTGTATGGAAAAAAGATTCTTCCAAAAAATTAGTGATCCATGCTTTTTTATTCTTAAAGTCCTCGCCAAAGCCCTAGAATTTGTGAAATATCTTCGATCGATGGTAACTTTAAACATATTCATATAAGAAGGCTCTGATGTGTTATAAGATCCATGTAAATCGAAAAGATTTTCTCTGTTTTTTGAACTGAAAATTGATTTTCCATTTTCATATTATTAATCTCTCCTGCTCACAGCATTTTTTCATTTAATTTTTTTTTCATTATTTGAGTAAATATCTTTTTTAATTCTTTTTATTGATAAAGGTGTGAATTGTTTTAAAATTTCTTATTTCCTGATTATGATTATGAACTTCTAAACTACATGTTCACTAGGTTTCTGATTTGATTATTTCTAACAATGATAAAAAAGGAGAAATAAAACTTAAAGTTGCAGAGATTTTCCTTGAGAAAGGTTATTAATGCTTCTAATAAGTATTGTAGAGAACGAATATAGCAAGCTGGAAAAGAATGAAGATGTTAGCGGCGATGTCAAGTAGCCGAGACTTTGAGATGAGAGGGTCCAGAGAAGATATCAGTGTAATAGATATACACGCAATGTCATTTATTTTAATTGTATCCTACTGCTTTGACCCTTCGTTATTTCGAAATAGTTGAAGATAATTTGGAAGAGAATAATGAAATTGATATTGCTTTACTTAATCTGGTCTCATGAAAGTTAAATATGTACATTAAAGCAATAGTACTATCATTGATCTATATGTTCAAAATATTGATAAGATAAATAATCAAGTGATTATGAATAAAATTGATTTAAAATCGGGATGATATTCTAAATAAACGAATAGAACCGGCTTGAGAAGAATGTAATTTAGCATGATTTGTATTTAGCTGAAAATGTCAAAGTCCCAAGAAATCACTCTACGTACTATTTATAAACCACTGATTAACACGACGGAAGGTTCCTTCTAATGATGATCTCGTCAAAAATTACGTTGCTTCCAGGCAAAAACGTACACAGCGCATTTCAGAGCCAAGCAGATGAAGACCCCAGCAAGCAAGCAGACAACTATTGTATCTTATCTTTCAACCCATCCGATGTTTCGCGTTCAGTTGCCTCTCTTCCATTTTGATTTGTCCTCATATTCAGCCATAATGTAAAACAAATTTGCGAATCTGTTATGTGAGCCGAGGATTATTCGTTCTCTGATGAGATGCAAGCAATTTGAAGGAAATTTTGAATTCATTCTCCAGCACTCTTAAAATAACATCAGTTTTTTTGTTTTAACTCTATGATAGGAGTGAAGCAGTTGGTGGACCATCCAACACCTCTATGTGATTTCCACTACCGTAAACTCACGTGCCATTGGTGTGAGCCATAAATGGTTTCAGATTGGCGAATCCAGGGTGCCATATACAGAACTCTTGCGAGTACGTTGCATGATCTATCAAATCCCCTCTTTAGCAACAGCGGGTATAAAGGTTAACAAGGTTACACCAAAAAGTACGGAAGATCCATCCAGCGTGAAACCAAAGGTTTAATTTCATCTAGCTCTATGGAAATGTTCAATAAATCAAAGTTATCTAATTAGACAACACATCCAACAAAATATACAGAAAAGCATGAATCTATGAATCTATCAAAGAATTAAACACCTTGACTAAAATATCCAATGTATGCAAAAGAATGACAATGATATGTTCTCATGTCGGGATCGTCATCCGAAACTACGATAACGAACAGGTTAAACATGTTTAAAATTAAATTATTGCTTTGAGTCTCGTTACGTTATTGCAAGTTCCATTCTGTAAGGCTGGAATTGGGACCAACCAGAGGTTCATGACACTAAATTATGTTCATGAATATGTAACACGAGAAGCAGCCGCTTACATGAAAAGGCACGAATTCCATTTTGTTCGCAGGGACTTCAGCATAAAATTCGGGCACTTGAAGACGACGAGTGGAAGTCCGTGGCAAATTTGGAGATGCAGCCCCGGCGGCCTCAGATGAGAACTCTCAGCCACCGGCTGAGCCTGAAGTCCTGTGACGGAGAGGAGGCGGGGTCCAGGAGCTTAAAGACCATCAGATGGTCAGTCCTACAGATGCACGTCGACTACCATCATTTTCGACAAATACAAGAGCAGATTTTAGAGACCGAACCATCGTAATGTTCGTGCACTCTTGACTGCTCACTGTAACGGGTTACTCGAAATTCAATCCGTGGATTGAGTTTTAGAATGGAGTCTCGTATCAATGTACAGATTTTAGTCGTGATTATTTCGACAATTTTTGTGGTCTGTCATTCGTCTCCAGCAGAGGACGATGTCGCTACCTCGGCCTTCTTGAAATCAAGCAGCAGCAGAGTGAGCTTCTGGAAAGAGAACGAGCAGTGGCTTAAGTCGTTCGTGGGTGCAATCGATGACGATGAAGATCTCGGCGACAAGTGGCCCAAGCTTGAGCTCAGCTGGCGCCTGTTTATGGGCACTTTGGTGGGATTCGCTGGATCCGCATTGGGTAGCGCAGCTGGAGTGGGAGGCGGGGGATTTTACTTAACAATGCTCAATTTGTTCATCGGCTTCGACGCCAAGACATCAACCGCTCTCTCCAAAGCGATGGTGATGGGGGCTGCCGTCGCGTCTACGCTTTTCAATCTCAGAGAGAGGCACCCTACGGAGAAGAATAAGCCTGTCATCGATTATTCCATGGCAGTTCTGTTTCAGCCCTTACTGCTCGTGGGAATCAGTATCGGAGTTATTTTTAACGTAATGCTGCCTGAGTGGCTGATCACCGTGTTCCTGTGCGTTCTATTCTTTCAAATAAGCTCGGGGGCCATCTCCAGAGCGAATGAATTGTCGCGGCGAGAGAAAATGCTGCGGAAGACCGAGCAATGTGCAACCGCGGAAGGCGAATGCGGAAGCGGAGAGTACGTTGCCATCAGCTCGGGAGATGAATCACCAGCGGAAGCTGAAGAAAATGTTCCGACACCTTTCAAGCTCATGATCGTGTGGAGCAAGACGGCAATGTTGTTGGTCACCTGGGCCATCTTTCTCTTACTGCAAATCACCAAATTGTACGTCCCAGACTGCTCCGCCTGGTACTGGATTCTGAATGCCGTACAGATTCCTGTGGCGCTAGGAGTCACATGTTATGAGGCGTGGAACCAAAAGCGGAATCAGAGACACCAACTTCATTCAGAATTGGGCGTGCCAGACGAGAGGAAGGCTCCATCGGGATTATGGAAGTATTTTCTGTACGCAACTTACGGCCTCGGAGGTGGGATCATTGGTGGCCTTCTCGGAGTAGGCGGGGGTGCGATCATGGGACCTGCGTATTTAGAGCTGGGATTGCCTCCTCAGGTCGCCAGTTCCACTGCCAGCTTCGTCATGGTCTTCTCTTCATCCCTGTCTGTGATGGAATACTGGCTTCTGGATCGACTCCCTGGGGCCTACGGAGTTTATTGCGTATCGCTGGCGGTGGTGGCATCTCTGTGCGGCCAGGTTATCATCAAGAGAGTCGTTCAAGCAACTGGCAGGGCTTCCTTGATAGTGTACACATTAGCTTTCAGTGTCTTGGCCTCTGGAATTGTACTCACCATCTTGGGAGCGATCAGAATCTACATCACATGGACCTCAGGAGGCTACATGGGATTTAACAGCGTATGCGCAGCTCCGTGACGAGAGCTTTAAGAGCAAAGCTCATATTAGAATTGGGGAAGGAGGCAGAGACCGATGCAGTCGCTCCACCATAGTCGAAGCGCATGGTGGTGCATGCACCGTAACTGCCCTCGATCCGTCAGCTGCAGCTGTCACAGTCGAGAAGCGAATCGGGGTCCACGATCACACCCAACTGCCTTCCCTTTGTTCCCTACGTACAAGCTTCAGCAGCCTTAGAAGTGCCTTGATCACCAACAAAGTATACCACGTACGCACACCTGCTGCAGAGATTCGACACATGGATGGTACTGTGCAGCTTTTCACTGGACTTCTTCTTGGAACTACTCCATGCGTCCTGATGCAAACTGATTTTGGCTCACACATTGGAAGTAAGCATAAAGACTGGAGATCGGTCAAGTAGAGGGCAGCAGCTTTCAGCTTTTGTCGTAATTGAAGGTTGTTGGGGAGGACGACATGTGCTCCTTTCCTCCACCAGTGTTTTTTGGTGACGCCTTTTCTGTTATAATCGAGTAGTGTATATGAATCATACATAACGCGGAAGGCCTTCACCCCGTGGAAGAGGTAGTTTCAAGTAGCTGTGTACAACATTTTTTGGCCTCGATATTTCTCTTTCCTTCAAGAATATGCGAGGGGTTGCCGTGAATAGAAATACGACCCCCTTATTGCAACAATTGGTTCACGTTACGTGAACTTTGTGAAGCATATATCGCATTTTCTACCATAAACCTGGAACCAACAAAATGACTTTTGGTGTTCCTTTCACGAGATCCGCGTTGTGGGGATAGCTTGGACCTTCAAACTGAAGCAGAAAGCTTCACACCGGATGCTTTCGAAATTTTGTGCTTGCGTGTGGCGTGGGCCTTTACTCTCTTGCTCAACTCATCTCCAGTCAACACAATGACTTCGCGTAGCACAGAAGAACTCATCGACGTGGGAAGGTTATGTAGACCTATAAAATCTCTTGAGTCGCTTTACTGTCTGATTACTTTGTGCCTTCTATATACACAAGTTGTAAACTGCACGAAAGACCATTGGAATCTTTTGGATGAAATAATCAATATGGTTGCAAAGAATATAAGAAATTTATACAAAATGTACAAAGAATCTTCCAAAATGTTTGAACTGGTTCAAAAGGACACATGCACGGCCGATCTTAGAATCTTAAAGATTGATTGTAGTTTGTACACTCTCCATCAACGAGGTTGTGTTTGTGACTTAATAGATAATCATCTAGGACATGTTCCATCACTGTAGTTATTCATGGAATAAGACACGTGATTAAACACCATTCACAAGACTAGATAAAGATTCAACCAAAACGGAAGAGAGGTTGAAGCGTGCTAATCTCTTTTGTGATAGATCAATATGTTTCAAACTCACATGCAAATCATCGTCTCGATGCTCAATACATGAGTAGTGAAATTCGATGTATTAATTGTAATTAATTCTGCTCTTGTTGAGTATAATATATTGGATATCACTTCATGTTGTACAAGGAAAATTATCTAGAATATTCTTCTCTTTTATTTTGTAACTCTAAACTTGAGAATGTACATTTTCAATTAATATCAATCTTATCGATCCCAAGTGACAATGATATTGAACACAAAAAGTATAACATGTTATTATTGCTTGCCAAATAAACAAAGAACTGTTATGTAGATTCTAGATACAAAAAATAAATATTTATTTAATAAGCTTCGTCAGTCTTATAAAATGATTTAACTTTCATTATATATAAAAAAAGTATGACATGTTATTATTGCTTGCCAAAAAAACAAAGAACTGTTATGTCAATTTTAGATACAAATATATATATATATATATATATACATACATACATACATCAATTATATAACCTTCATCAATCTTATAAAATTACTTAACTTTCAGAATATAATATTGCATAAATGTGTGATTGAATCATAATAGAACACTTTGCAATTAAAAAAAAGACCATTTTTCTTGCAATCAACCCATCAAAATTAATTATAGATCTTATAGAAACTACTGCACATTAAACTTATATTTTAAGTTTGAAAATTTTATTGTATGAACTCATGGATGTGAATTTTGGAAAGAGAGATAATTGTAGTGGCTTATTCTTCATGCCAAATGAAAAAACTTTGAAGCTTATATTTATTACTGAAATTGGAATACCTCATAAGAAGAGTCTCAATCTATTAAAAAAACACACTTATTTTACACGAATGTAGACTCATAAAGATATTTCATGAGCTTACGTTTAAACTTCAAGATACACTTTTTGTAGCATTTTTACAATAGTTGATTTATTTTGGGAACGGCTAGTTATCCTGGGTTTAGGCTATTTATCCTCACCCTGCTATACTCTACATAAGAAATGTTTGTGATTGGTGATAGAAAGACAAAAATATTTTTGGAACCGTGCAAAGACGAAAACTAGACGGTGAATATAGTCTTTGCGGGATACCGCGACTAATATCATCTAGTATCAAATGGGTGAAATAGGAAAATTTCCTCATTGCATTTGCATGGAACTCATGAATTCCTCACACGCCTGAACTAATGCTTCTAGGAATTCGCAAGGGAGCACCTCCACTAACATTGGACCTGAGAAAATCATTCTATAGATCGAATCTTGCATTTAGTGATTGGATCAACATTCAGTTTGATGCACATTCAAATAGGTTTATAAGATTTCATTTCAGAATACACGCAGCAGACACTTGCAATGGACATGCAAAAAGGGATGAAATCGAAGTAACATATGGTACGACAAAATGTTGCGATACCAATCGTGGTAATCTACCCACTCATAATTTTTATTTACTAATCACATAACTCTCTTTATGTAAAGTATAGTAGTATGAGATATAATTAACCTAAACTGAGTGATAACTAGTAGTTACCTTTATTTTTAATATACATGAAAGAGTCATGAATTTATTAAAGAAAAAAGTAGTTGAGCACAAACGAGTCAATTTTCATTCATTGCACAAAATTGTAAATCGTACATTTTTCTAGTAATCTATATATATTTATAAAATTTAACTTTATAGAAGCATACAGAGCTGCTTTAGACATGTACACAAATAACTTGTTAAGTTGGACTAATGTCTTAGGATGTCACAATATTTTAACATTTCACGAACATCAAATTATATTTTACGGTCTTATAGGGTCTCTGGATATTGAGTAAACCTGTTGTTGATTTGAAAATGTTGGCACTCAATGGTTTCATACGTAAAGTAAAAAAAAAAAACCTTGATATTCTATCACATGTGCTTCTTTATATCCCTATGATAAATTTGGCACAAATTTGATTCAAGCCACATATGTGTGTTGTGATTCATTATGTAATAAGAAAATGAGGCATGTACACAACTTGAAAGTGAGTTGATAGTGAATGTGCCTACGCCTTAAAGATATTTGAGAGAGTATTTTCCAAACCTCCTATGATGTTTTTGATTCCAAGAAATTGGGCTTTATTCATGATGAAGGCCGATGGGGATTTGCGAAGGCCACCAAAGCGCAAAAGGCCTTTTGTACTCACACTTTGCTTGGAAGAAGTTTGAAGACCGAAAGCCAATGACTGAAAAAAAATGAGAAGAGATATGGGTCAGAGATATTTATAAATCAAAAGTTAAAAAATGCACTGAAAACCACCCATGTACTAGCAGCGCTTTCTCTTCACGCCTTTTGCAATATGATGGCTCCATCACTTGAACCAGCTCCTTGCAAGATCCGAGCACCAATGGAGATGCCCTGCAGTAGTAAATTGCAAGAGGACAACTTTTCATGGCGATGCCATGTACTAGAGTGGTGGCACAAGAACATGAGCAGAGGGGTCATCGAAGATGGCCTTTACAGGTCCAGTTCCGATTACGCGTCTAAGATAGGGACGGTTCAAGGAAATTCCTAAGATAAAAGTCAGAAGCAAAACAAAACAAAAGCACCTAAAACAGAGGGAGGAATCCTTAACTTGTTGGCATCAGTTAGATGCACATTTTTCGCAAGAGATCTTTAGTATTCAGTAGAATCTCGCTCAGAGTAGTGCTCAAGGGCAAACCAAATATTTATGCGATATTTTTCGTTATCATAAGCGTTATGGTAGGTGGGTTCCTCGAGATCAACTGTTTAATGCAAAGTTTAAGTTTACGATGGACAACGAACTTCCTCCGGTACCGCAATCATATACATCTTCTGTATCCCAACGATCCTTTCATGTCTATCATTATTCATACAACGGGACACAAGGAACATAACAAAGAGGATGGGAAGGCCCATCAAGTCGAACAAGGAACGAACCATACAATCATAATGTACATCATGATTTAGAAGTGTAGATGTCCATGGGGAATCTTGGATTTCCCCCTTTGGAAATGTATCCGCAATACAGAAAGCTAATTTGAAAACTCCGTTCGAATATGGATGCATTTTATTTGTAACTGAAACTTAGTTAAAAACCCTCGAGCTACTTGCAACTCATTTGAAACAAGGAAAGTGAAGTGTTTGACTCTCTTATCAACGCCGTAGTTGAGACTACTACAGGAAGAAGTCTTAAAAGCCCGTCAATAGCCCAAGAAGCCTCTCTACAAGAACATCAGTTCTTCTACTGGCAAGGCCTTGTGAACATGAGATGTTCGCACTTTAAGGATGAGTCCGGCTAATGAAATTATTTTTGTACACCAAAAGAAAGTACCAAAGTTTTGAATTTGGGAGATGCAACTAGTTCTTCCTTTGAAAATATCCCCTTAAATCACTAGTTGAAATATTCCTACTATTACAAATGCTCTTGCTGATGAACTGATTTTCCGCCTACAACTAGACATGAGAAAATATGTCTCCCCTACTCTAGGATTCTGTTTTGTTTTCTTTGTGAGGACTGCACAATACTAATTTGGTATCTAGCGTCCTTCGCTCGATGAATATACAACCCAGTCAAATGACCTTCGACAATGTCAACCACATTACTCTTTAGCAGCGAGCAGAACCTTCGGTACAGTCCGAGCTACTTTCAAACAAACAAAAATCAGTTAATGATTTTTGATATCATTAACTAATTATCAAATACTCCTCCAGTTTACGTGGGAATATAGAAAATTGTGCAAGTTAATTAAGAAGAAAAAACACTAGGTTCGAAAAAATCGTCGCAAGTAGATATCGAAAATGAAATGAAAACCAAGTAGGTATTCTTAAATGCATTCCGAAATCAGGATCATCCCGGTGTTGAAGTGCCTCCTGCCTGCCTTCCACTCTTCATAGGACCCACGTAACATCATCACGCCTTTTACAATGATGGCATGGAGTGTCCAATTCCAATCCTGCATGAAGAGGGATGTGTACTCTGCTCCTGCATTTCTACTTCAATAATATGAACATTTACCATCCTTGCTATCCTTGTCAAAGTCACAGAATGATAAATGACATATTAGCAACAGACAAAATGCATAAAATAAGTTAAGTTGAAGACCGTTTCATAATCCAATAACCTGTCTTAACATTGCAGTCATATTTCTTCAAGAGTAGCATTGAGATTTTCGGATTTATGTGTTGGTTTATTTCATGTCTGACTTGTATGAGTGGATCAAGACATCAGAGTCAAAAGGATTCATTTTCATCACACAAAAAACATTTCACGTAAAATAATGGAATCATAATGATTCACACATATGAACTGAAAATACAGAAGAAAAGTAACGAATTTTAATTTCAGAAAGAAGAAGTCATTTACATCGATTAACCCAGTTAATGTCAATATTGTACATATTCTGTGATTAAGAGTTATTTTACTTACGAGTAAGAAAATACAAACATTTTTTATAGCTACAAATATATGTTCTAAATGTATCGTTAAGTTTTCATCTTATCTGACTATTTTACAAATATATTGTATTTAAATGGGTATTTTAATAATATAATGGTCATTATCAGTAGACAATTATACTTGGAAAAAAATTCCCAGAATTTTTGTAGAATTATTTATAAAAAATAATAAATTCTTGATTTTATTACTGAATATAAGATTTTGGAATTAACTGGATCTAACTTTTTATCACTATACAAAAATATTTCAAAATCTCAATTTCATAAAAAATAGTATTTTTTTATCTTATCAATAAATTTATTTAATCAAATAAATATAGTTAAGATTATTTGTATTATGAAATATATATTATCTAATTAATATTAGAAAATCTAAATCGTTCATGTATCAAATGAGTATAAAAATTCAGAATGCACTTAAAGTATTCAGACATTCTTTTGTTTGCATGAATTATTTGAATGATTTTTTTTCAATTCAAGTTTTTATGGCATTTTAGAAACATGTGTTCAAATCACATGATGCATTTTTAAAACTAAACACTGCTTTTTTATATATTTTACTAAAAAACATGAAGTTTTCATGAAAGATCATGATGTCTTCAAATCATTAATTGAAAACATGTATGTGTAATCAAAGTGATAGCACATGCATGTTATGTATACATGTAGTATGTATAACAAAATATGCATACTTTTAATCTCAAAGATTTATATATGAAACTAAGTTCATTAATGAGAATGATACTTTGAAAATATATTTGGTATAAGATATAGTTCTAAAGATATCAACATTCAATGCTTTGCTGTTAATTTGAAAAGCTTGTTAGTTTATTTTTAGAATCTTTTTCACAATCAATCTTAGCATTCAAAGGACTGTTGAGATAAAGATTGATCTTTGTTCATCTAACGATAAGTTTTGATAATTTTTATGTAAATTTTTTTATGCATATTCTTATTTTGAATCTAGATGATGATGATTTTGAGAATCTTTTCATGTAAATTTTAATCGTGTAAAAAAAATGATCTATCTATCTTATGGTGTATTAAGAATAATGCTTATAACTATTTAAATAGGACTAAGGATATAACTATCTAAGGATAATGCAATTTTATTGCTTCCTTTTCTATGCATTTCATTAACACTTCAGTGAAATTGAATTACTTATTCTTTTCAATTTTATTTTTGAAATGGTTTTAAAATTATAGTTAATATGTTGGTGTGGAGAATATAGATATTCATCATTGACATGTCATCACTAAACACATAATATATATCTCAATCTTGGTTGCATGATTTGTAAAATATGTATTAATTTGAAAAAAAAAGGATTAAGATTGGTTTGTTGCATCATTCACAGATGTGTTGGGATGAATGTGTTGTCTGCTTGGTGTGAGACAAAAATGATACACTATCTGAGGGAAATCAAGACATGTTGTTGTAGATTATATATGCAAGAGTAGATTTTTCTATGATTTAGAACTTTTGATGATCCATATTCGCTTGATGTATCGATTGTGATTTGAGCCTGATTGTGAGTAGATGTACGTATGTACAGTAGTTCATTTGCTTAATCTGTCGATAAGGGTTGTAATGTCTATAGAAATGGTCCCACGAGTTGAGATGGGTGCATGCTGTTGTTCTAAAAAATGTATTGTTTCAATGCAAACAAGTTCTCTCGAGAAGAATACATCCCAAGAATATAAAGATATATGTATATCTCCTGAAATATAGAAAATCTTGAGGTCATTAAAGTGCATGTAACGTAAGTCTTCGCTATAAGCAAGTGAGACTTGTTTTCGTTCTCTAAAACATGGACAAGTGTATCGTTAGCCAGTTTGGATAGATTTTCCTTGCAAAGGAAGCAGAAGGTTGAAAGCTTATAATTCTTGTATTTATTGAAGATGAAGGTTCTGGCGGGGAGTACTAACACATCGATAAGGCTCGTGCAATCATGAATCCACGAAACCCTAGTAAGTGGTTCATTATGTATCTTTAAGATTCCTAACAAATCATTCTTTATACGTCATAGGTACGAGTTGAAGGTGAAAGTCGTGGAAAACACGGAGAATTGATCGGAAATCATTCATGTGGTTCCCACTTGCATTTGTATGTACAATTACGATAGTGTGTACAAATCTAATAATAGAGCTCGAAGTATCAAATTGTAAATTATCTGTTGTGATGCTTAGATTTCACAACGGCGTAAGGAAGCGAGTTAGTGTGAACTCAGTTGCAAGTGAAATTTGCTTCAACCGATGTATCATAGCAACACAACACAACACAGCTGTATCAGAAGAAAGCTAGTCTTGATGTTCAGTGATATTTGTTTTCAATAATATTATTCCCATCCATATTTGTATTTGAATCAGTTTGTTTGTTTGACTCCAGATATGGATTGCTAGTTGTAATGGTCTACTATCAACAGTTTTAGTAAAAGTGTATAGTTTCTAGCTCAATCCGACTTTACATGCAATTTCTAAAATATTGGATACGACCTCAATCCAGTTTGACCATGTAGCTTTAGTGTAGTAAACGCAAAGTGTTACAGTAAAGGTATCTTCCCTGTCTGCTTTGGAGAGAGTATTAGCTCGTTTTAAGTTCAACCATGTCGCAACACTCCACCCCGGTCCCTTACGTTGTTCTCTTTCTATGATTAGAGAGGTTATTCTAATCGAAGACTTGTGAAGCTTTTCCCATGTTTTCTCGTCATATATTATCTTACTAATATAAGGAAGAAATGTGAAACAAAATCTAGCAAAACTCCTGGTCGGGGGCAAGGAGCTGCTGAAATTCTGAATTTAGTTCAACACTCCACAGATGCACGTTTGGTTGCATCCGTCCAGTTATATGACACTATGTGCAGAAGTATCATGAGTGTAATGTATAAATTCTTTCTTCAGATATCTTGTGAAGTAATTATCCGCATTGCACGGAGATCCAGAACATTTGTTTACATGCCGAATTTTGTTGAGTAGAAAAAAAGGAGGTTATCCCTAAATTATGATAGCAGAAATCGTGCTTACCTCTTAAGTATCCCAATAATCATTATCAGATAAATGATTCCACAATCCACTCACGGAAGAAGTCGAGAAAGCATTGGACGGTGAGTTTATACCATTCCTAACCATTGTAATGATAGTGCTTTCCCTCTGTTTACTGACAGAATATTTCATGTACATCATCATGTTAGATTAATGTCCATCATTTCGCTATATTGAGATAACACAGTTCCACAACCATTAATTTGCAATCTTGGACCCCCTAAGGTCCCGACCAAATTTCCACAGCTCATTAATAATGATACCCAAAATTTTCCTTTCGTGTCAGAACCAACCATAAATTCGTCCGGCTCCATAAAATTCACGTGCTGTTCAATTTCCCCCGCTCTCGAAAGTGTAGGCTTAGATCCTGCAACTTTCAGGTCCACATGGGGTACCTATTTTCTCCTTCGCGAGTTGACGTGTAAATCCTCGATGTGCTGGCGTGTGATGATCGGGCTAACCGAACCAAAGTCTATTCCTACCGGGCGCTCGGGGTCATCGTTGCTAGGTCATGGAAGGAATTCTGGCAATCCACGGAAGTAAGGGAATAAACATTCCGCTTTGAGATTTGCAGCCAGCGTCCACCTGCTTTTCGGAATAGGTTAGAACCTGTTATTTGCGCTTTACTTCAACATTTGTCCGAGGCTGAAGCTGTTCGTGAAGCTTTTCAGAGCCTAAGTTGACTGCCGAGCGGATCACCGCGCCTTCCGGTCAGAGCGTCGCGGTCCCGATCTTGACTTCCGCGACGATCGGGCTTTGGAATGCGAGAGTCACGACGGCAGCGACCAGCGGGGAGAGGATCCGCGGATCTTCGGGTCCTCGGGTCCTTCCTTTTTATGAAAGATACCGCATCTTCTGTCACCGGGATCCGATGTGGGGGAAACCCGAGTTCCATGCTATTCCGAAAATCGTTCGGCCAGATATATCTCCGACGAAGGCCGAGGTGGCAGCGCGGCCAGGGTTCGACATGTCGGCATTCTCCTCCCTGGAGGGTTCGTCCAAATCCACTTGGAAGGTTGCAAGTTGACCCGAGTGCGGCTGTCCAGTCAACTGACGAGCCGCACCTCGGGTCAACTTGCGAGCTTTCTTTAAGCCGCAGATCTCACAATTTCGGGCTGCACGGAAAAGAAGCCCCGAGGATAAGGGGGAGCGATCGGAAGTAAATGCCGGATCGCGAAGCAAATGGATCGGGGCAAATGGTCGAATTGGTGAGCGTTCTTTTTCTGACCGGGACGAGGCATGCTTCGGGACCGGCGGCCACGAAGCACAAAGTGGGTAATAATCCGGACAAGGACCACCCAATCCAAGACAAAGTTAAAGGATCGACGTACGGCGTTCTTGCGGGTTTCTACTTTATCCGTAAAGCGAACAGAGAGCGGAAGTTCTTGTCGCCGTTCGAACGTCGGGGCTGCGGCATCTGACCGGACCCGATCGACGGGGCGACCGCAAGAAAGGGTGGCCTCGCGGGGGTCCACTGCGCTGCGTACTGCGTAAATCCTCAATCCTACCTGTCCGGAGTCCGGAATTCCAAGCGGATGAGCCACATTCCCATCCGCGACAACGCGACAGGTCACATGGTCATCCGCCATGCATACGCCTAGATGCGGTGACAGGCCCCGCGGGTAGGGACTCGGGGCCCTCGAAAATCTGTCCCCCACAACCACATTCGGACTTATTTAAGCGCATGGTATAAATAAAATGTACGCCATTCCGAGCTAATCCCGGGCTCATTCGCGGGTTCCTCTCCTCCTGACCTGCCACGGGCATGACAGGTGGGCGCTCGAGGGCAGAAGACGGGCCGGCGAAGCCAAGCAGGTCCTCTGGCTCGGCTGCTGGCGCGGGGGAGGAGGAGGTGGTGGCCAAGAAGACGGGCAGGCAGTGAAGGAATGGGCAGGGCAGGGAAGGGAATGGAAGGGCAGGAGTGGGGGCGGGGCGGGGAGCGCGAGTCAGAGCTCCGGTGGGGGAGGGGGGCAGTGATTCCAGAGTCAGCGATGGGGTAAATTCGACGGGAGGAGTGCTCGACGTACGCGGAGGTGGAGGAGGAGGCGAGAGCGGCTGATTGATTGATTGATTGATTGATGCGAGGGGCGGCCTCTACAGAGGCCTCGTTGTCAGGAGCGAGGGGCGGAAAGATCGAACGAACGAGGCGAGGGAGGAAGGAGGGCAGAAGGAGGGCAGTGGATCGAGCGGAGGCGAGTGGAGTCGGGAACTCGGGGCTGGAGCGAGTCGGGCTGAGGGCGGCACTCCACTCCGTTGGAGGTTCTGTTGGCAGGCAAGGCAGGCAGGCACCCCGAGGGCCCGGGGAGGTTTTTGTTCGCATGCGCGGATGGTTGTTGCTGTCGTTGTTAGTGAGCGGAGATGGCGCTGATTAGTCCTTAAATGAAGGTGGACCGAATGATGCTGCGGTGACGAGCATCGGTGGAGCTTTTCGGGCGAGCGAGCGAGCGAGTCGTAACTCCACTGCTCGACGTCGGGGTTCATGTAGGTCCGAGAGTGGACTGTATAGGCACACCTTTTCCCGTTCGCATTGCTTCTTGCCACGCGCTGGTGGTCCCGAGTGCGGTTATCTCTATTGGACGCTGGGAGAAGAGTGTTATGGCCGCAGTGATGGGTTGAAGCCGGAGGCCGAGAGACCTAGCGCGCTCATTGCGGCATTCATACTCCCTCGTCAACACTATCTTCTCCTTTTCCCGTCCCTGCCATCTTTTTCCTCTCTCCGTGGGACTGGTCGTCTTGGCTTCGGCTGCCCCCGCCGCGGGATCTCCTCGCCTCTCTGATCTCTCTTCGCAGAGAAGGCACATTTCGAAGGTTTGGGTGGTGCTCTGCCAATAAGAGCCGGTTCGTTCTCTGTAACGCTCGCCGAGTCCTCGGGCGCAAAACTCTCAAGCGTGCGTGTGTTTCTCGGTGGACGCCTCGTGTACGAGCTTTCTCGCTCTTGGGCCGCTACGGTTTCCGGAGCGCCGAGGTGTCATCTTTGGCACGGGTTGCCCCACTGCGAAGTTCGTGTCGCTGCACACCGACGACGACGACTACCCTTTTGAAACGCCCGTCTCAGTCGCTTCGTTTACCGCTTCTTCGGTCGTACGATCACTAAGTTGCTCCGCTTTAGGTCACGGATGCTCATGAAGTGCTTTCAGCCCGAAAATATTTCCCGGGTCACAGACCAAGAACCGCAGTCGAGGCCTGGAGGATCGAATGATTTGTTTCTGAACTGAAGCAGGCGGCGACTGATTCGGAAACCTTATCTTAAACCTTTCCGGTCGACGAGCCACGTTTGTAGCCTCAAACGTTTCACCTCTACCGCGAACACGAAGAGGAATTCTGACAGTAATTTCCAAGGCTTTGAGGCGGGAGGGCTGCTCTCCTCAGATCTGGAGGTTTTCTCAGTGCAATTCGCCGAGATATCTCAGGAGGTTACATTCCTGGATTTGTTCCAACTGTGCTTTTCAACCGGCCTGTTGTCTCGATGATACCTTGGTCTCGGATGATTTCTTGAGACGCCGCGTGGTCCGACGATTGCGAATTTGTTCACGGCGGGTTCAATCAAAGAGCTACAGATCTGAAGACCATGTAGTAGTTGGACGATTGAGAATTTGATGCGACGATGGCTCAAAATTCACAGAGTTTTTGTCTTGCGCAAACCTGTGTCTCATGAAGACTGGAGGTCAGTAGTCTGTCGGACAGGGGCGAGGTGGACAGGAAGCGGTTCTCTAATGTCGGCGATGTCGGTTGTGTATTATGACCTATGTGGTCTGGTTGGACTGGACTACACTGGATGCGGTAGTACCATGAAAGACAGTTGCAGGTGCTCTCGTGCCTGATTTTCTCCACTGTCGAAGATCGTATGAACTTGACAGTCGGAGGAGAAACAGACTACAGTGCTCGATGAAGAGATGTCGGTTTCTTGACCTAGCGGGTGTGTCTCCATGACGGGAAGCATTTCGATGGGGAAATGATAAAAATCGATTGACGAGACGAGACTGTGAAACTAGAGAAACTCCGGGTCTATACAGCGAGTCAAAATAGGTTGCTCAACTTCTAAGGTTTTAGGCTGCAACCAAAAGTCAGCCAAAACGGGGTCCCTCTGTTGTGTGGCCGCAAGGCCACACGGATCCGCTGTCAGCAACGACAACTGGTCTAATGGGGCTCGTGAGCCGCACTGGCGCACCAACGGCGGGTTTTCACCTCCTCTCAATAGTCGATGGGAAAATAAATCGCAGCCCGAGGAATTGGCTGCAGCCGCGAGCGCTCTTCAGCTGCAAAGGCAGTCGTTCTCATCCAGTAGCCGGGGAAGTAGGAGCAACAGTCGAGCGGGTAGTGCAAGATTCCTCGGCCATCAGCGAAACATCTCTGGGAGCATGTTCTCTCACAGTGGAAGCCCTTCCGAAAGCTTCCGTGCTCCTCACTGGAATCCACTTTCTTCGTCGAGTGGCCACATGGAAAACTATATAGCTGCTGCTTCAGGTACTACAAAGCTACTAATGAGTTTGAAAAGTCCGCTGTCTAGGAGCTATCACGCTTTACATCTAGTATATCATTGTGTAATACTGACTGGGGTCAGGTTGAATGCTTACTTCCAGGAATCCTTATTTTGCCTGGGTTGTAGTTTTTCCCAATATGTCACTTTTAACCCCGTCGAGATGTAGGCGAGAAGTTAGAGGGGATGTGACAGTGTTTCTCACAGTCATGCGATAGATAAATGCTGCAGATTGGCGCATTAGGAATTGCTACTCTCTCCTGTTATTTGGCTGCTTTGTGCTATCGACCCTCGTAGCATCTACGATACTCGTTTGATCAGTCACTTTGCAAGCGGCCAATAGCAGTCACGTTCAACTATCAAAACCGTGCTGTATGACTCATGATGCAACATTGGATGGTATCGTCTGTCTATTGATCGGTGCAAGCCTTCCATCTACAGGTCTCACTAGTATAGAAATCACCATGATACGTGCACTTCAAGGGAGATGTATATCCACGCTTGCTTCTTAAAGTTGTTGTCATGCATTTTTTGAATTTTGCGGTCCTAATTTGAAATTTGGGCTATCTGAAAACTGCTCGAGAGGAGTCAGTGTCAGATTCTGTTGTTGTTACGTTATCTTTTTTGTTTCAAACAATTTTTGTTAAAAAAGCAACCATTGTTTCTAGACAATTACGAGTAGTGACCCATTGGGATCTGGTTGTGGCTGCAGATTCGATTTCCAGTCCGTCAATAACCATCATTTCTTCCAAGGAGGTACGTAACTCTATCCGAGCTCGCACATCAAAATGGATTAGTCAACCGACTTTATTGTTTTTCCTGCGCTCTGTTCATTTTACCTTATGGTTACACGTTTGAGGGTCGGTCCCTCTAGCTGAAGGTTGAAGTTTATGATCGTGAATCTCACTCTGCCTAGTTTCGTATTTCTAAATAGTTCGATACTTCTGTAGAGAATCTTGTGCAATCTGTCATTGGCTTCTCCGTTGACATGAGCTTTCAATTGTGTGGGTTGTAAGAGATGGAAATTGGTGGAACCTTTTTTCTTTGTAGGAGCCCACTATGCCCATTTTCGCCAGAGGTGTTGAAATCTGTTCTGTGATGTGTGTTGGTGCAGGGTTGTCTTTCTGGCAATTTCTCGACCGTGTCAAATACACCAGAGTCTACCCCATCCTCCTACGTCGGCGAATACTCTCACGCATCAGCTGCGTGTCAGCCGTCTTCCTCTCAGCGACAGCAGCCAGGCAGTCATTGTTTCCTGTCAAAGTCAGCATTTTCCATGGGTTCGCATCCTCATCTAACGAGGCAAACGTCCGACAGCAGAATCCATGGGGTTGGTAGCAGTCGAACGGCTGAGGGCCGGCACGAAGGAAGACATTCTTTCCGATGGTCCGGGAGCAGCGGAGGGGAGTCTAGTGTGGGCTCGCTTGGTGGTGCTTCGGATTGGTGGTCTATGCAAACGTTTTCCGAGCTTGTTGCCTCCTCCCGTAGAGAGCGACTCCGGTGGACAAGTGCCAGTAGTCCATCGGATTTCGGTTGGGGATCAACTCGGGAAAGCTTTGATCGTGGCTTGCTGGTCATGGACAGAATTCGTGCAGGGACCACTCAAGCGACTTCATCTTCTCCTCGCGCTGAAGCTCAAGCATGTGGTGTGTGCTCACGACTTCTATCTCAACGATCTCCCTGGAGCTCCTACAGGATGGTGGGAAGCAGTGATTGTACAGTAGTGGGTGTTCTAGTTTGTGGTCATGTATATCATGGTGAGTGCTTGGAGCAGGCCACTCCCGAGGCCAAACGACAAGATCCTCCTTGTCCTCGTTGCGGAGCAGCAGAGAAGGCAGCCCAAAAGTCAACGAATAGCGTAGAGCCCGCGCAGTTGGCTAAAGGAAGTGGCTCGAAGACGAGCAGTGTGCAGAGTCAGTCATCATCCAGGAACAAACTCTCTAGGATTGGCGTTGCAACAGACGATATTTCTGGACCTGAATTTTCTTCAAGGCATTCATTCAGTGAGGGAGGAAAATCAGTGTTGCCGACATCATTAAGCGAGAAGTTATCTCTTGGGAAATCCCTGTCCAGACGACAATTCTCGTTCAGAAACAGGTCTGCGAAAGAATCTAGTGGTGGGGATGCTGTGTCCAAGAAACCTGGTTCTCCTGCCCGAGTGTCTCCTGACAGCTCATCAGAAGACCAATCGACCTCGACCGTTTCCCAACTCAAAAAACTTCGTTCCAACTCTTTCAGATATTTGAAGAAAAGGTAATATAAAGACATGTTTTTTCTCTCTTTTCTCTTCTACCCAAGTAAGCCGCGCTAGGGTGAAGAATTGTACATTCCAGCCATTCTTCTACCATTCCTTGCAGTTTTTTCTTGTATACCATAAGCTGAGGGTTACGGAAAAGATTGCATTAGACCACATTAACGAGCAAGCTCGATAGGCATCTGAAAAGCACAACCCAGGTCAAGAGAAGTAGACGCAAACAAACTATTGATTTTTGTAACAAGAAGTTCGTGCGAGACTGTCGTCTGCAGCCGCTTCCAACTAGTACCAATCCTTTAGAAATTTTGATCCGTATCTTTAAGGGTTGGCACTGGAACGAGCTCTTCCAGGAAGTCTCGAAGGTCACGTGTTGGACACCCTCCGTCTAGAGGGAAACAACGAGACTTGTACATGTTGATTCAAGTTAAGATCTTCGTTCTTCCAAGAATTTAGAAGAGCTGGACTCTGGAAGAAGTTCGAGAATTTCTGGAAGTGCTTGTTGAAGATCAATCCTGGATGAATCTGCTAGTTGATGGGGATGCTGCTCACGTTCATTATGAAGGTAATTGTTGGCGATGGTGTACCGTTATCTTCGCGTCGGAAGCTGTTGTATGTGTCCCTTGTTTTTTTATTGTAAGGGACACCAAACTGTCCTCCAAGCCTTCTCACAATCTAATTGTACCTTCACAGTCATTGAACTCATTATCGTGGATGAGTGTAGTGTGTAGTTCATGCTTTCCCTCAATCACTGGCTGGAGGCGCAAGCATGCTGTATTTTGCAAGCTGCCATACATTTGAATGGTACGACTGAGGCTAGCCCTTGGCAAACAGAAATTGTGGCCACTTGCATTGGCTTGATCGGTCTCCTTTCTGGAACTCTGTTGTTTGTATGTGGAAGTCGAGAACGAGTGGCAGTTTCCTGTAATGAAAATATGACATGCAAGCAAAGACTTCAAGTTTTGCTGAGAAATGTTTACAGAGAGTGTGCTCCCAAATATAAGTAGGAAATCGGTGTCGTGTTTTCTGGTAATCATGTGGGTTGAGGAATTGGATCACCAAGACTCGGATTAGCTAGTGAAGTGATGATGCCCTAGTGGAGTCGTTTTCATACAGCTGTGGTATTACTGCAACCCCACTGGATATATTTTTAACAACTTCCTGCTGTGGAGCCAAAACTGAAGAAACCATTGGTGCATGTCATCAGCATGATGCGTTGATTGTGTAGTCTGCTGGCCGACCTTAATATGTCTTAGGTGTATGCCTTAAAGATTCCGTTTGTTGACCGCGGGTGTGAGAATACATATCATGCCTTGGAAAATAGTGTTTTTTGGCCACAGCTTTACGAATAGGTGTCATAGTATGTGAGATGAAATAAAATCGTATGGCCTTAGCTAGCAAAATGTTGGTGCGTTTGCAGGTGTCACGCGCAGTTGGCCGGTATATCTTGAAAACCAGCGTCTCGTTTTTTTTGCTCTAGTATTATATGTATGCTCTTCCATACCGACCGTGTTGCGTTTAATCTAGAATGGGGAGTTTCATGAGAAAATTAGTGGCTTCCGAGACGGTGGGGCACAAATGAGATATTTTGTGGCAAAGTAGACACGCTATTCGACGCCTCCATGGCAGCTGGCACTTGCCCTGGTTTGTGCGAAGTAGGCCCACTGTATCCATGGCTAGATGCAGACGGGTTTGGGCCAGGTGACTGAGGGTAGCAGGAGTATAATTTGTTCTTCGTAGCAGACTGGCCGATGCCAACAAATTTCACTCTTCTGCAACCTTCTTACCTCATGGATACTCACAGGTTTGTTTATCTAACGTTGGAAGAATTGTGAACTTCCAAACGAGCGCTTGTGCGTTGTTATACTTTTCTGGATGTATGGGCAGGTTCGCAGTTATACAGTCCATAATAAATAAATCGTTTGGCATTCGACGGAGTAAATGATAGAGAATGGAGAAGAATATGGCAGTCACAAACCAAGTGAAACTTTCGCATCAAGGAGTTCAGGACTGTTGAGAAGGACAGGCTTTAACAATGACTGCCTACAGTGAAGAGGCCAGTGAGAAGGATATCTATTCCAAAGGGGTTCGGGGCAAATATCCGCCCAACACGAGTTTGAAGTGATGAATATTTACCCTTGGAACGGTAAATTGAACGATTTGCAACCTTTCAATTCTGAGCAGTGCGAAACTCCGGAGTCTAGCGGTCACAAGAGTCCAAATTGACATGGCCACTTGTCCAGAGCGGAGTTGAAACAAGTGGGAGTTGTACATCCTTCACGACCCAACGGAGTCCAAGATAGAGGGGCGAAGGGAATGTGCATCGTATACAGAGAAGAACTACAAGCTACTCAAGAGATTTGGCAGTATGGTGTACCTATTGTTCCGAAAGAAGAACATGCACAGGTTCTAAACAGATTGTTCTGATCATCTCGCGCAACTTCAACCTTGCACGTGTTGATAGGTTTCCAAACAGGAGGAGTCTCGGAGATTATGGCAGATACTGAAAGCATGGTACCTTTGGGATATAAATTCACGTAACGCTGGGGTTCTGGAACTTCTGACACTCTTCAACTGCACTTGACGTTAGATTTGCAAAGCACACGAGAAAGTGATCAAGCTGAACCGTTCGATGGCTTGCCAGCTTGTGAGAAGTGGCTGCCGAGCGTCGACTGGGCAAACGCTCGACAAGATGGGAGCGTGCGAACTAGAAACCAAAGGCGAACGTCGCGAAGTTCAGTGCTTTTCCTTTTCCTGTTCAGTGCAGAGCGGCCATGGCTCCTGATGAAACTCATGAGTGGAGTGTAGTCAGTTTCTCTCTAGTCATGGGTTATAGAAGGGACATCAAGCCCAGTGATGTGTATTTTCTGGTGAGCCGCTCGAGATTCGGAACATTTTTGTTAGCACACAGCTTTATGGAAGATTTTAGTCGTTGTCACCTCATCATCATGGGGAGATAAGTGTGACACGTAGAGGGATGGACAAACTCAAAGGTACTTATTAGATCCGAAGAAGTTATGCCATCGATAAAAGCAGTCCTGATAATTGAGCCTCTGGAATCATATAAGCAACTACTGGCCCTCACTCACAAGTACCTGGTGCAACTATCATCAGCTCTGTGGAAAGTGGATCAAACATGAAACGAAAAAGGTTAGAGAGATGCACGCTGATTGAAGCTCCATGACTCTTACAGGGATGATGACTGTCCATTGAAAAAAACTTTGACCTGAACCAGTTCTTACGTTGATTGCCACTTCGCGCATGCTATCACTCAGATCGCAGAAAGGCTGCGTAAAGGCAAACGTCCACTCCAGCCACCTCCAACTTCAAATTAGTAGGGGTTGAGCAGCTCAAATCCGACGAGCAGCACTTCAAGTGTAAGATTGAATCTCCGTGACCAGAATCCGTTTCAAAGTCCAAACTTTCGTAGCTTATTAATTCTGAACTGAGGGGAGGCAGATGAAACTTTAAACGTCAAAGTTTAATAGCTTATGCAAGAAGTCGCCCGAGCTTTCTTCCGAGGAAGGTCGTCAGCCTCTGTGACAGCAGGTGAGAGCAGAAGGACGGCCTGCCATTGGGGCAAAACCCGGGACACGTACCATTGTAAGAGCTCGAACATACAGGGTCGGTCGGTCGGTCGGCGGTCTATCAGGGCCTACGAAATATCTGGACTACGGAATCCAGAGCATGGGGAAAAAAATAAGTGGAAGCCAATGGGGGCGAACTGGGAGCTCGATGCTTGAAGTACTGCGGCCACAGCCGAGGCCATGAGATACATGCACACGTCGTGGCAAAAGACGCTCACCATCTGCAAAGCTCAACTCTCCCTCCCCCTCCCTCCCTCACTCCCTCCCTTTACGTTGATAGTCCCGAAGCGCTCAGCAGGCTGTCCTTCGAGTCTGCAGCGTCTGCAGACACCAAGGACAGCCTGGTAGAGGTCAACAACCAGTAGAGCTTTGAGATGGTCTTCCATTGGCTCCGGTCAGCGGGAACGAGACCTTTTCCAGGTCACTTGAACTCTCTTCCCCACTCGGCACCGGCCGTTCCACCGTTCCCCTCCCGCCTGTCTCCCGTAACTAGACACGTTAACTGCCGGACGCAAAGTTCGGTCCGACACCGCACCTGAGGCTGGCAGTTCGAACCGAGTTCCACTTGCGGTTAAGTTGTCTCCCCACACGAGTCCCTCGTTAAACTCGACTTGCGGTAATCAATGAACCTGACTCCGTACCTCAGTCAAATCCAAAGCATGGGTTGCCCTGCGGTGGTTGGTTTGTCTGGCACCGAAGTGATGCGGCACAGGCTTTATTAATCCTCCCCTTGGAGAGAGGGGCCGAGGCCTCACCGGGAGTTCCAGAGGAGGACTTACGGCGGCTCTTGTCCACTTTCCGCTGTCCACCGAGTCGGCAGTCCCGGGAAGTGTGGGATGACGGTGACGGTATCATGCAAAGACGCTTGTCCCCTTCCTCCAAACCAGCCGTCTGGCCAGTTGTATACTCGAGACTCTCCTCTAGCTTCGTGAGGGTCAGACTCTCTCTATGTGGTTAACGGGGAGAGTCTTCAACTCAACTCTCTACGTCAGTCAAAGTTGAACATCCTGCGTGTTCTTTCATGTTCTTCTTCGTGTTTCTTCATTTCTTACTTCAGTCTGAAATATGTCAGTTGAGTCTTTATTCTTGTCTGTGAACTTGGAGTTCACTTCTAGCCAAAACGAGCAAAATTTAAGTTGTAGTAAATTATTGATCACCCCGTACATGTAGACAAAAAAGTCTCAATTCAGTTGAGGAATTGTGTAGAAACAATTACTTTTTTACAATACATTCTTATCACGATTGTGAATCTAACGAGGAATGATATTTTACAACAGGTATTAAATAATCAAATTTATAGCGTACTTGTGTAAAAATTTTAATATAATTCAATTTTCGAAAAAAAAAAAATCATCTTATTACATACCGTTGGAATTTATTATGATCGTCATTTAAGGTCTAAAGTAACCATCATTAAGTGTCATGTAAGTGTATGAAGCAATAAACTATTAGTTTCCAATTAAATTTTCTTTTGTAATCTATATATTTATAATGCATACATAACTTTTCTTCATGCGAGACGTAATTTTAAATGTTTGTACACGTATTTTTCATTAATTTTTTTCTGCTCAATAAAATAGAACAAAATTAAAATGTGAGTTCAATGTTTCCTTGATAATCATCACTATTTATTTCATTCCGAATCGGACCTCTCAGGAATTCACTTAACTTTGCAGTGCTACGGTGGAACTCCTCGCATGGTTCAGGTCTCTTATCGTGGGCATGGTTTCGATGCGTAAGCAATGTTCTCATGATCCCAAATGTGGTTAACTCACCTTCGTTAGCTTCACTGGACAGATCGTAAACTTGTCCCGGGTGGATAAGTACACTCGAGTCAGCTGCTACGGTCAAAGCTAAACTCTAGCCGCGGTCTTAAATGGAGAGTCATAATTGAGCGCTTTCGGTAAGAGGACGGGCAACTTCGGAACTCTGCGGGCCCTTAATTACCTGGGAGGGAGGGGCAAGAGCGGCAAGTGGGTGTCAACGACATTCAAGGCTAATGAAAAGAGGTTTAAGCGAGGACTGCTTCTTCCACTGCCGTACGACAGAGGGGGCACTGGGACCAGAAAGGGATTACAGGTAAACAAGTACTCATGAAGTCAATTACGAGTCCCGAGAGAGCGAGCGAGCGAGGGATGGAGTTTCACGAGTTCCAAGAGAGAGCCGGCCTTTCAGAAGGGGCCTCGAGGAGCAAGGACAAGATTCTCTCAGCTTTCATCTTCCATCATGCGATTTGAATATCATTTGTCCTCAGGGCGGACGAGGACGAGG